TGATGTGTTCAAGAGGGTATAAAAATCATTTTGTGCATGCTAGTTCTTTTCCTAATGGCAATAGGAGGATCCTCATTATCATTGTTCACTTGGATTCAGTTTCAAGTTGCAATGGAGGATTAAAAATTGGTACCTCATTTTTTAGAACTATGTTAAATTGTCAAGAATATGCAAATTCAAGAACATCTATCTTCTTCATTAAAAATAATTTGACAAAAATATTTTCTTGAGAATTATTTAGAGTTTCAAACAATTTGACATGGACTCATACAAGTTTAAGAAAAGTAATAAAAGAATACATAGGAAGTGATGACATGTGAAATAGGAAATTATCATCCTTATCTTCATTGATTGAACTCTCCACTTGAATATAATGTGTGATGAAATAAGACTATTAATTGAAAGTGATATTAGCTGATACAAATAATTTATTCGATGAAGGGTGATAACATTTATACCCTTTATGAGTTGAAGAATATCCTACAGAGAGACATTCTAACACCTTCAGATCTAATTTCCTCATCTATTAACTATGCGCATGAACAAATGGTACACACCTAGATATCTTAGAGACTTGATTATTTCTATTTATAAATAGAAAAATAAAAATATTCTTATTAGACTTGAATCCTAAGACTCTAGAAGGCATGTGATTTATGAGATGAGTGGTAGTAAAATTAATTCTCCCAAAAAGATTAAAGCACATTGTTTTAGAAAAAAAGATTTGGATTACCTCAAGTAGATGACTTCTTCTATTGGCTACTCTCTTTTGTTGTGGTGTATTTTTTGGAGTATTAAATACTTGATATTTTAATGATTACAAAAAAATATAAGATCAATTGAAAATATTGAATTAAGTCTAGTTCCAAATATGCAAGATATGAGGCTAAATATATCATTAAATATAATTATTCAAATATAATTCAAATTAATATCATTAAATATTAAGATGAGACTTTATTAAATTCGAGACCCATGATGCTAAACTTATTTAATTGATTGATTTCATAATGTGAAATTATTATTTTGTGTATTGCTATGAAAATTACTAAGTTATCTATGTGTAATTAAGACTTGAGTAATTAAGGCACAATGAAACTTTGTGAAGTAAAATATGAGTACGATAGCTACTCAATTAACTATGAAAACTTTTACATTATCAGTTTCGAAATGTTTTGACATATAATTAATTAGAATATATTTACACTAGTTATTTATGTCAAATATGATTTTTTGAACATTATCAAATATATATTGAAATTCATGTTAATTATTTGAATCACCAAAATCATGATTAAAAATATTAAGATCATCGCTCAAGATGTCTTATTAGACATCGTATTTTTTTTGAGTTGATGAAAATCAGTTTTGATTGTTTTATCCAGTTTTAATGAGGTATATATTATCATGTAGAGACTCACAATATTGAATCGTTAGTAGATTGATATGAGCCAGCATGATTCAAATATGAATGTTAAGTATTAAGAGAATCACATATTTCTTCCATTAGAAGATATTTAGACTATATAAATGATATATTGTATTAATCTCTCAGCTGTTTGAATTAATCTTATTTTAGAGAAAATATAAGTTGAAAAACTCACATAAACTTGGGAAGAATTTTGTATGAGATTTTACTATAACTACAATTATTTTCTAAATGTCATATTAACAAAGAATATTATCCTTATTTTCTCAACAACCTCAAACTTTGTATTAAGTTTTATGCACAAAAAAATCAAATGAGAAATCATGAGGATGGAGCTAGCAAGTCAAGCTGCTCAAAAATATTAAATCAATGAGTATTACTTGGGGATTGAAGTACCTACCTCGACTTGTTCGAACCTTGAAGAGTTCCATCAATGATTAGAAATCTATCAAGAAGAGGACAACTAAATCAAGTTATCAAGCTTTGTCATCATCATTGAAATTTAATTAGCTTTTAAAGAGATCATTCTCTGAAAATCAACCAACAATGAAGTCATTTCATATTTATTGTAAGATAAACTTAAGATTAAAGTTTTATTTAATCACTCACATGTACATTCTTTTTAAATAGTTGTTGGCCTCCTAATGGTGTGAATTTAGAAGAAATTTTTAGGGTGAAATTCTATGGGAGTTGAATCATATAATCAATGGTTGTGATCAAAACTCTTGATCTTAGTGGAACCCAAAAATAGAAATTATTTTCTGGAGTCAAACTATCATAAAAATATCTTGGTTTCACATTTCTTCATCTTAGGATCTAGAGAACCAAAGATTATAAGAAGAATACCATTCAACCTCATCACTAGAATTTCTATTTGAGAAAAATATAAGTTGATTGATTAAATCCTCCCTTTTTATCCTAGTGCAGGCTAAAACTTAATGTTATTGACATATAATGACACCGATACTTCTTTTTTTTAAAGTACAAAGTTATACATTGATTGAAATAATCCTTACCATTATGTAACCTATTTACATTGACTCCAAATTGATTCTTAGTTATAAAGCAAAACTTTGGGAGAATAATACAGACATCAGTAAAAAATTGACTCCAAATTTTATTTTTTTTGTTTGAGTAGAAAATTTGAAGTAACATAAGTAAAATCATTAACGAATATTAGAAAATATTTAGCTCAGAGACATTCAAAATGATTGAAGCACCCCAAATATTACTATGAATATAAAGGAAATAAATACAACTTTTTTATTACTAACTGGAAAAGATACATGTTTATATTTTGTAAGTTAAAAAATGTCACAATTAAAATCTTCAACACTTAGGTTCTGAAATACCAAACGAAATATAACTCTAATAGCCCTATGTGATAGATGTCTAATTTTGTGATGGTGAACTTAAATTTTCTTTTTTTGAATGAACTAAGTTCAAAAAATAAATTACTCTTTGTAATGTTTGGCTGACTCGATGCATCAAGATATAAAGTTTCATCTACTTCTCTAACATATCCAATCTTCATTGATTCTTTGTCATAAAATAAATAATGATTATCATGAAAAATTACCGTGCTATGTAAATCTTGATTAGGATTTAGATAGACCAAGGTTTGTGGATAATCTAGGGATATGAAAAATATTTCTTAAGGTCATAAAAGAGTTAAAGTTTAATATTAATTGCATATGCTACAGTAATTAAAGAATCTTTAGTTGTGACTATATTTGTATTATTTGGGCAAGAAGATGATATGAAAAAGGCATTTGATGAGTAGGTCATATGATCAGTACATGAATCCATGAGCTAGGTATCAACACAATGTGTAGTCTAGGATCAGTGAGTCGATTCTATTTCATGAAAATGACAATGCATCAATGTTCTTGTGGTGATTTAGATCCCTCCCTTCTCCACTCTTTTAAGGCCAGCTCTGTTTATTTCAGCTTCTCTCCCTTAGTGCACTCAATAAAAAAAAGTGCTGGATCAGTCATTACTCAGAATCTTTGACCTCCTACTATTAGACACTTTATGCTAGCTTGAAAATCTAGAACTTCAAAATCAGTTCTGTGTTTAATCAACACAAGCGTCAAATCCTAAAATTTCTCTTCAGGAATAATTATTTATAAGTAAAAAATACAAACCTTAAAAATTGTTTGAAAAATCTTCCTTAGAACATGGAGGCATAGGCCCTTAAAAGTTGGAAGTTAAAAGGTTTTGTGTATCTATTCTGCTTGTGATCCCTCTTACCTTCAATCCAATAGTGGTGACAAAGGTACAATTCTGAAGGGGATTCATCTACCTGTTAGCCCAAGTCATAAGACACTATGAATGTTTTCATAGCTAAATCTCTTCCTCTCCATCACTATCTCCCTCCCATATTCTTGTTCTTATGCTTTTTCACTAAAATGAATGTAGGGAACTGAACCACCATTTTATCCTCATTGACCATGTGAAGGAAAATAGCAAAAGACAAAAAAGACAAAGGACCTACCATGGTTAAACTTATTTTAGCAAATAGCATTCTAAAGAAAACAAGCGACCACATTCTTTTCATTATCTGCAAGATTCTCACATTTCTGGAGGGACAGGTTAGTGCATCTTTTAAGCTTAATATCAAATTTAATATCAATACTTTGGAATTTCTTGTTTTTTCATCTCCCATAAATATTATGTAGCAATAACCGCGAGTCTTTTCCAATAATATTAACAACCTCTTCAAAATACCCTAATTATTTGACATCAGCAGTCTGTGGTTGGAATGTTAATTGAAAGCAGCAAATGTATTGTGCATGCACCATGCCTAAAGTGTTGATGGCAACCGTGGGATCATGCCATGTGGATTTCAGGAAGGATGTCACATGGCGAGAGAATGCCACATAGTCAAATGGAAGAGCTTCTAATGAGTTCCGATGAGGGTGCTTTAACTGTCAGTTAGTTAGTAATGAGGTTTACCCAGGTTTTAACCCTAAAAAAATTAACAGAAGGGCCAACGTCCAAGAGCTCAAATGTTATCTCAGAATCATAAATGGCTGGCATCAAGATATTCAAAAAGATTTGTTTTCATCAAGAACACAAGGAGAAAAAGAGCGCCAGGAAGAGGGTTTCTCTGAACCTGGAGGTCACAGTGAAAACAAGAAAAGACTAGTACAATTCACTCAGTCAAAGGAGCAGATTTGGAACTTCCACCTTTAAAAAAATATATATCAAAAAGGAATATCCACTCCAGCCTACACTTGTCCGCTGAAGCCACAATTATATATGACGATTCACAGGTTCCAGTAGTTCATAACCCCATTTCAATACCCAGATCAGCAGATGATTCTTCAGTTTGTCCAGGTGATCATCGCCTGCCCACTGATCTGCACAAGGTTGGCACACTCTGATCTCTGACCAGAAAGAAGAATATCAACAGGGCATAAATCGAAATCATCCGGAAATCTGGTCTTCAACCCCAGGGCCAATCATCCATAACAATTTACTCTGATCTAGAATTCAGTTTTCCAAAGCTTCAGCTTGGAAACCTGGGTCCCTGGTTGTCTTCCTGACAGTACATGTAAGGGAATGATTATCCTGGCTGCGAAGAAGACAGCTGAGTCTGACTTCCGCTTTCTTGCTGACCATGGCCACTGCCTGCAGCTTCGGTCACTAGGTCCTCCCTGGGTGGGGCTTGGTGTCTGTGCCCGCCATTCTGGGAGAGGGTAGCAGCGGCCCGTAGTCTCCTTCTGGTCCTCCATCTCAGGAACTCCATGAGTAGAGAAGAGACACAGATGGAAATGCCAAAGCCAGTGAAAGAGGAGAGGAGCACAGAGAGAACAGCGGCCACTTCAAGCTGCAGGCATAATGAAGAAAGCACACAGGTCAGATTGATCTTGAATTTGAAGGACAGAACTCCTACCATATCTTTGATTCGGGGATGAATGCTGACTCCTTACCACGTCGTAGAAGATGTGGGCAAAAAGGATAATGGCCGCAAACTGAAATGAAGCGAAAGCCCAGATGTAGCTTATGCTCACTGGAATCAAACGTAGATGTAAATTAAGACAAAATGTAAAGAGAAACCATTATTAACAAGAAAAACTAATCAAACAAGAATCGAAAACCCCATTGGAGATTACCTCCAGTCAAAAAATCTCTAAAAATCAATTACTTTTCTTCAAGAAAAAATGTCGATTCTCGTTTACTTTAGAATTATACGGTTATTTATGTGCGATCCTTTTGACTGTCTACTTAATTGGATGATAGGTGACTTGAGAATGTTTTTGGCTTACATCTATATTTTACGTGTTGCAGATTAGTTTGAAACAAGATGCCATCCGAATAAACAGCCAGAGAGACAGAGGTGTTTTCTTGTCACGTTTATAGCATTGACATCATCGTTATCCGATAACTAAAATATATAATTTATTTGATGAGATGCCAAGGTGGAATCAAACAGGGGCGGTGGTGTAGCCTTCTTACCAAGGCCAGAAATATCTTATGACACACAAACTACCATCAGCGAGACAAGGCATAAATCTATGCACATGAATAAAAGTTTACAAGAAGCACGTTCCTCAACTTTCCATTTACATTTCCTGTTGAAGGATTATCACTTGGAACAAGGTAAAATTTACAGTATCTTACCCATTGTTGAAGCTATCATGGACGAGAGGAGACCCAAAGCAAAGGAGAAGGGCAAAGACAGAGCAAGGGCACGGGAACCCATACTTGTAACCTGTTTCCATTGGAATTCTAAATTTGTTTACAGAAGTATAACTAAACGAAATAATTAAATATATATAGCATGACATGCAATAGATTCTTTACCAAAAGTTGCTCCAGAAAGCAGAAGTATGCCAGCATGCTGACAATGACAAGAACTGGTATATCCTGCAAGACCCTGCCAAGGATGAGGAATGAGAAAACAGAAAAAGTTAGCTTGACCACCAGCATACACATGGAACCAAGTCATTGAAAGAGTATGATAGATGTACCATTAACCTCAAAAAACCATGAAATGTGAGAATTTCTGATCACATCGTCGACATAATTCCTAAAAGTGTATCAACAAAACAGGTTCTTACTCGAGTAATTCGAGTATTACAGAAACTTTGGTCCCTTTCAGGGGTGGAGAGGGAAGAGCCACATAACCCAACAGCCCACTTTTCATGTACACGAGTGATTTCATTTATGACTGTTCTTCTTGTGGTAACACCTGTTCTTGTTAATCCTGGAGCCAGAATACGGTTTCCAGAGGACAAATTTCGGTATCTGACCCTAGAAACAGATCTGCATCTGCCTTTAAATGAGAAACAAACTACGCCATTACAAGATATAAAATCCCATTTCTGACATCCATGGTAATATTAATCTCCGAAAATTAAGGGCCACAATGTGGCTTCCTCACCATCCACTTGTAAAGACTATTTTGTTCATCAGTTTTGGGGAACATAAAATTTGATAATTACGAAGCCAACTGAAAAGAGCTTGATTGCAGAAAATGCATTTCCCTCCTGTGGATAGAGGTTACAGTCACCTTTTAAGACAGAGAAGATGGTAAAAAACTTTCTATGAAATAACATTCAATCTTCAGTTATGATACCCATGATATCTGATATCAACTATTGACTTCTGGTAGCCCAGTGCCTTTGCTAATGTTAGAAATAATTTTTTCATTTACTGTTTTGTCCTTTATTTTACTGTCCATCGTACCTTGTAACAAAACAATAGACTGAACCGGTTCAAATTGAATCGGTCCGGTTTACCCTCTCTCATTTCATAACAGCTGGTTGGTATAAATACCAACCAGCATGTAAGCATTAGAGTGTGATGAAATTTAGGGCTTCAGCCTTCTTCTTTTCGTGTCTCTCTCTCTCGTGTTCACTGCTAGCACAGACAAGAAGGAAGGGAAGTGTTCAGAGATGATCAAAGTCCAGCACGATTTCTAACATGATATTAGAGCACAGGTGTGATCATTTCAGACTCCTTTGATCTTCTGAGTTCTTCTTGAACAACCGTTTTTTTCATTTTCAAGAGAGAACACATTTCTTTGTGACTTGTTAAAACAAGTAACTAGCTGTTCGCTGATTCTGCAATATTTAGGTGAGAATCTAGCACTATTGATCTACAGAACACGAACTGTAGGTCCATGTCTTGATTTGTAGACTAACTCATTTCTAAAACAAACATACCTAATTCTTGAATTCTCAAGAATGTCTGAAGCGACTTCTATGGCAGAACAAGAACAATCCCGATCTATGAGGGTGGGGCCTAGTCCGATCTAGGGAGATTTGTCAATTATACCACAAACAGATCATCTACATGGCAGGAATTACTTTGGATGGTCTCAGCAAGTTTGAGTTGTTCTCAAAGGACGGGGAATGGCAAATAATTTAGCTCATCCAAGCTTGAAGGCTGGAGATCCGAGATTTAAAGCATGGGATCAAAAAGACTCAAGAATCATGGCTTGGATGTCGACCGCCATGATTCCTGAGATCCGTAGAACATGTTTGTATCTTCCCACAGCTAGAGCAAGTTGGGAAAATTTCTATCAGACTTATTCAAGAGCAAGAGATGCTGCACAACTTTATGGATTAAAGTTAAAGATGATGACTGTGAGGTAAGGGGAAAAATCAGTGACAGAATACACTCATGAAGCAAGAACATTATGGCAAGAATTTGATCAATAAAAAATTACTGATATGAGAGATCCATTTGATACAGCATTGTATAGAGAGAAAATAGAAAGAAATAGAACCTACGAATATCTTGTGGGACTGAACTCTGAATATGTTCAAGTCAGAATTCAGATCTTAGGAAGAGAGAAATTACCTCCTCTAAATGAAGTAATCTCCCTAGTGAGAGGAGAAGAAAGTCGTCGGAACCTAATGCTTGGTTCTCAGAACGTGGAAAATTCAGCATTTATGGCTAGAAATGGAAAAAATTATGACAATAACAGTACCAAAACAAAGGGTGAATCTTCAAGACAAGAGAGGACTTCAAGGCAAGAGAGGACTTCTAGCAATGATTTTAGAGACAAGTTATGGTGTACATATTGCAAGAAAGCAAGGCACACAATTGACAGGTGTTATAAATTACACAGAAGGCCTCAAAGTCATGAATGGGCACAAAAGAAGGGATAACAAAAGAGTGAAAATCAAGCACATATATTTGTTGTCCAACAAGGGAAAGTAAATACCTCAGCTGCCATAGAAGAAGTTCCACAAGCTCAAGTATTACAAGCTTCATATTCATTTAACTATTCAAGTAAGTCTTCAACTTTTCTTGAATTCAGTGCCTCAACAAATAGTAAATCTTCACCCTAGATCATTGATTTAGGAGCCACATAACACATGACCTATGTCTCCCATCTATTTAACTCATATGATCCTTGTCCAAGCAATAGAAAAATTACCATAATTGTTAGCTCCTCAGTCACGGTTGCTGGGATAGGAAACATTTGCCTATCACCTTATATTACCTTGAAAAATGTACTTCATATTCCTATGTTAACCACCAACCAAATTTCCATTAACAAACTCACACATGACCTAGGTAATGTGTTTGATCCTAATACTTGTCTGTTTTTTGACAAAATGTCTAGGAGGACGATTGGACGTGCTAGAGAATGAAGTGGACTCTATTAGCAAGCCAATCAAACATTGCAGTAGATCAAAACAATATTCCCAAGAACCCTGACCTGTCAAACAGTGAAAAAAATTGGCTTCAACACCAAAGATTAGGACATCCCTCTTTTTTGATTCTGAAGAGTTTGTTTCCTTCTTTGTTTCACAACTTGAACACCTCTGAATTCAAGTGTGAAGTATGTGAATTTGCCAAACATTGAAAAATACCATTTCCTAAAAATAATATGAATTGTTCAATACCTTTTTTTCATGTTCATAGCAATATATGGGGGCCTTCACCAACACCTAACACAAGTGGAGCTAGGTGGTTTATCACCTTTATTGATGACTGTGCAAGGATGATGTGGATTTATTTGCTTAAAAATAAATCTGATATAAGTATGGCACTCATATAATTTTATTCTTTAATAAAAACACAATTTGAGACAACAATTCAGAGGTTTAGATCTGATAATGCTAAAGATTACTTCAATCATACTTTAACTTCTTACTTTCAAAAAGAAGGTATAGTACACAAATCATCATATGTCTATACACCCTAACAAAATAGAATGGCTGAACGGAAAAATGGTCATCTGTTAGGGATGACCAGAGCTCTCATTATTCAAAACAACGTACCAAAATATTTTTAAGGTGAGGGAATTCTTATGACTGCCCACCTTATAAATCGTCTACCAACTAAATCTTTGAATTTTAAAAGCTCAGTTGACATGTTTTCTTCTTTTATCCTCATATTCCATTGAAAACGAACCTCATACCTAGAATATTTGGTTGTACAGCATTTGTTCATATTCATGAACAACATAGGGACAAATTAGATCCTAGAACTCTAAAATGTATTCTTGTAGGATATTCCCAAACACAAAAAGGATATCGTTGCTATTATCCTCCAACAAAGAAATTTTTTATTTCAAGGGATGTTACCTTCAATGAGGAGCATACTATAACACATCAGATCATCATGATAAGATTCAAATGTTAGAGGATCCATAATTAAATTTTTTACTTATTGCCAATTCATTACCAGACCTCACTATGGCTCCCATCGAACCACCTATTCTTGAATCTACTCCTAATGTATACCTTGAAAGAGGAAGATTTGGCCAAGTATATTCCAGAAAAAAAAGAGAATACTCCAGAATTTGTGCATGTTCAAGAATCCTCCTAGGATGAGTCAAATGAGACATCCCAGACCAGCACCTTACCTATTGATGAAGCCCTACCTATTACCCTTCGAAAAGGGGTAAGAGAATGTACTAAAAAAACATTATGAAGCTTTATTATAATAATATACATATTGAAGGATTTGAAAAGGGGTAAGAGATTCTATGGGTCAATATTATATTGAAGGATTTGAAGATCAATATACATGGTCCAATGAAGCTTTATTGTGATAATAAATCGGCGATCAATATTGCTCACAACTCTATTCAGCATGACAGAACTAAACACATAGAGATTGGTCGCCACTTCATAAAGAAGAAGATAGATAGTGGACAGATATGTACTCTATATATGCCTACAACTGATCAAATTGTAGATATATTCACAAAAGGACTACACGGTAACATATGTTATCATCTTGTGTTCAAACTGGGAATGGACAATATACATTCACCAGCTTGAGGGGGAGTGTTAGAAATAATTTTTTCATTTATTATTTTGTCCTTTATTTTCCTGTCCATCATACCTTCAAACAAAACAATAGACTGAACTGGTTCAAATTGAACCAGTCCGGTTTACCCTCTCATTTCATAACAGCTAGTCAGTATAAATAGCAACCAACATGTAAGCATTAGAGTGTGATGAAATTTAGGGCTTTGGCCTTCTTCTTTTCGTGTCTCTCTCTCTCTCTCGTGTTCACTGCTAGCATAGACAAGAAGGAAGGGAGGTGTTCAGAGATGATCAAAGTCCAGCACAATTTCTAAAAGCTAACATAGAATTTCTAGTAAATATTCACTCAAGAGTTTATAAAGCTTTCTATTAACTAAAATTCAAAGAACTTCATAACTACAATGGTTTATGCATTTTACACAACAGCGGAGGATGATAATAACCAAAAATTTGACACAAACTCTCAAAAAGCAAAGAGAAAAAGGGCATTGTGGACCTCCATGTCCAACTCCTTCTTTTTAGAAAAAGCTTTTGATGTCTATATGCTAATTGTTTTTCGTGGAAGAAACTCCATGCTATCAATATTTTCGAAGAATATCAAATCTCAATTAGGAAGGAATGTGGAACAACCCATTGATTCTTCTTCTCATACCTGTGTCGGCCTGCCTGTCTTTGACGGACACCAGTTGATGGTTGCCTACGACCAGAGGTGGTCTGTATTCTTGTTAATGTTACGGGTAGGTTCTGAACATCCTGCTTGCAGATGTCACATGTCTTGTTGCCCTTAATGCTGAACCATTTCACAGCGCACTCCTTGTGAGCGAGGGCTAGCTCACCCTTGCAGCTGCACTCCATCTTGAGAGTTTCCCCTCCCTCTGCTAGTTCAACAAAGCATATCCTACATACTGCATCTTCCTCGGGGATGTCTTCGCCATCATCTTGAGTTCCTGGAAAAAGAAGAAAATGTAACAAGAATCATTGGCTGACTGAAGCTTGAATCTTCTCGGAAGGAATAATATGCTTTCAAGATTTCATATAAAGAGGAATGTACATGATCATACAAGAGCTTTATATTAAGGGGAATATGGTGGGAGAATAAGTACCAGCCTCTGACAATATGATGTCATTCGTAGAGGAGGCATGCACACCAATAGGGCATGGAGTAGCTGGAATCACACGGATCCACCCTCCCAGGGAATACATGCGGTGCAAGGTTCCACCTTTCATATTCCCAGGGACCGACATTGAACGTCTGATTTGATTACCATTTCTGGGCTCTGACATTGACCGTCTAATGTGACTCTTCAATTCGACTTTCTGCAAAGAGCATGTATGTAGCAAATAGACACCAATAAGGCAAGAAACTTCATTAAATCAGAAGAACCCATTTCACTAATAACGATAAGGAAAAGTATGGCGCTTGAAGAGTAACTCCATTGATTAGAACCAATTTCCACAACAAAGAGAGGGAAATATGGAACTTCTAAAAGCATACACATCAATGAGAAAAATTCATTTATGGGAGAAATGACAGAGGAATATGGAACTTTCGAGAGAGTGAAAAGATAACAGAGTAAGCCATGCCAAATGCTGATAGCAAAATCATGAAATTAAATATTTAAATGTTAAGGGCTTCTAAAGCAGATCATATCACTGCCCCACCGAGAGACTAATGACAAGACTACCTTCTCAATAGTCTTAAATTCTTACTTGAATAGAAGAAAATCCATGTTGAATATTATAATTGGTTGGTGAAATTGATGGGCTATAGTTTTGAAAATAAATATAAGGAAAGAACAATAAGGCCGCAGATGTATTATCCCAATGTCTATTATTACTGCAAGCTGAACTAAATGAGGCAACAGCACATCACTCCATTCATCTTGAAGCTATTCGACTAGTAGTGGATGAAGACGCTAGGCTTACAGAGATTAAAACCTCATTGTTTAAAGGAGATACAGCAAACGAATTATATTATTTGAAGAATGGATCCTTACTATATAAAGAAAGGTCTTCCCACACATTTCTCTTTAATTAGTAAATGTTTACAATTATTTCATGACAGCCCGGTGGGGGGTCATTTTAGGTTTCAGAAGACATATCATAGAATTTCACAACAGTTCTATTGGCAAGGAATGAAGAGATATAAAGGCATATATCAACAATTGTCTTACTTGCTTACAATGTAAATCTTCTTCACTATCACCAGCAGGACTTTTGTAGCCATTGCCTATAGCTACCCAAATATGGGAAGACCTTTCAATGGATTTCATCGAAGGCTTGCCCAAATTATATGGGTCGAATGCCATATTAGTAGTAGTGGTAGATAAATTAAGCAAGTACAGTCATTTCATTACCCTACATCATCCATGGAGATCATATAATTATTCATCAAGGAAATCATAAGACTTCATGGGTTTTCAAAGACAATTGTCTCCGACAGGGGACGAATATTCTTAAGTACATTTTGGCGTGAACTACACAGTACAGGGAACTAAACTCAAATTCAGCTCTTCTTACCACCCTCAAATAGATGGACAAACTGAAGTAGTCAACAGATGCTTAGAAAATTACTTGAGATGTGCGGTACTTGATAAACCAAAGCAGTGAAAATTATGGCTTCATTGGGCAGAATATAGTTACAATACTTACTATCATTCTTCTATTAAAATGACTCCTTTTCGAGTGATATATGGCAAGGACCCACCAAAACTTATCAAATATGGGACATCCCCTTCACCACTTGATGCTATCGATCAACTACTCTCGGAATGAGATGCTATCCTCAAGATTCTAAAATTCAACTTGCACAAGGCACAACTGAGGATGAAGTTTAATACAAATAAGCATCATAGAGAAGTTGAATTAGAGGTGAGTGACTTGGTATTCCTCAAGATCAAACCATATCGGATGAGATCTCTAGCGAAAAAGGAAAACAAAAAGTTAAACCCTCGCTATTTTGGTCCGTATCTTATTATGGAAAGAATTGGGCCAATGGCATATAAACTCTAATTGTCGAACCATTCAGTTGTTCATCCGGTTCCATATATTTCAACTCAAGAAGACACTCAGAACAAACAGCAAAAGCCAATTAGTTCCCCCAACACTATTAGAAGATTAGGAATGGATACTAATTTCAGATGGAATAAAAGCTCACAGGTCAACTCCTCAAGGCACAGAGGTATTAGTTTTATGAAAACATCTTCTAGCATTTGAATCGTCATGGATGACAATATCAACATTGCTTTGGCAATTCCCTACATCTCACCTTGTGGACAAGGTGAAACTCATGGGGAGAAGTAATGTTACGAAGCCAACTGTCATCTACACAAGACGACCTAAACCCCCATGTTGAGGGGGGACCACGACAAAATAATGTACTAGGGCCTGTAAATATAGAAGAGGCCGAAATAAGAAAGGGGTGGGAAGAAAACAAAGAGTGGTGTAGGAGATCTGTCCTTGAGGAGGTCTGATTCAGGCTCTCTTGAGGATCTATCCGACCTCAGGAACTCACCCTACTATCTACAAACATCTATTGTCTTTCCAATTTTCATTTTCAATTGTTCAGTCTGATTCGTCTATACAATAGAAGAGTTGATTTCCTAAGTGGAGCCACGTCTAAGGTAAGATTAGAGCATAGATTCACCCAAATCTCAAGAGGTTCATAATAGATTCATCACCGATCTGTCTCAAAAAATGAATGGAAAGAGTACGGAGTTATGATCATCTTCACTCTTGTCATTATTTGCACCCCACAAGCACTTATTATCTGATCTGAAGCTGCAACAAATTAAATTAAAGGCGGGATCAACTCATCTAATACAAATCTGGGGTAAGACGACATCTCCTACATCTCAAGTTATAAATGTATTATCTGATGATAACTGAAGAGGAAATCAGAGTTAGTCATGCACCAATCAAGGAAGCACATAGTTAGATTTAGTGAATAACATAATGGGATTTCTTTTGCTGATTTTCTTTGGTTGTTAAGTCAAAGTTTACCTTTAACTATTTCAGTCGTTTCTAGAAGTAATTGAGGTTTATGAAAGACCCTAGAATATTCCAACTGTTTTCACTTCTTTTTCGAAGACTTTAAAGCCGAAATTCCACCCCATTAGTTATGGAAGTGATGCAGTAGTAACACGGAAGATAAACAAGATATGGGCTTGAATCCACAAAGCTCTAATCTTGGGGAAGAAACCTGCCTCTGAATCCACAGATTTGGAGTCTTTAACTCTTGAATCCACAAGGGGGTGCCTAAATACACCAGCAAGAGGGAAAGGTTCTTACAATAGAGAAAACTGATTCAACTAAAAAAAGTGAGTACCTCAGGTTACAATGGAGACCTTTATATAGGTCTAGAAAGGAGATTGGGCGCTCCCCAAAAAAAGGATCCTGACATATCCTAGGGACAAAGCCTGACTAACTCTGAAATGACTTAAAACAGACTCTAACAGACTGAGATCTTAGACAAATCTTCTAAAAATACTCTGACATGACCTAAAGCAAACTCTGACGGTGAAAGACCCTAAGCAGATCTTAGGTACAAAATCTGACAATCAGAGATCCTAAACAGATCTTAAATACAGACTGAACCACATTAAAGTCTCTTTTAGAAGAAATGAGACATAAAGTACCTTCTAGAAGTGAAAGGACATAAAGTGGGCCTAAATTCGAACCTCCAACCCACTAGTGACATATGTGGGCTCCCTTTCTTACACTTTTCACTTTATGGCCCAAATTCAAAATAAGTGGGCGGCCTAAATTCGAAGTTAACACTTCAACTTGTGTCTTGGGCTACATTAGGAAGCTATTGGGATTTTAAGACCATAAATAAGAGCCAAAGGCCTCATATTGTTCCTATAATTAGGAGTCTACATGAAGAAAATTATCCTCCTAACTCTTTCCCCAAAAGGTTTTGAAGGTCCTTCTCCGTGGAGAAACTAGGGTCCCAATGCATGAAGTTGAGGGTTAGTTCATCCTTATTTGATTTTTACATTCCTTTAGGCTAAGTGGGATCTCTACACCTCTAAGAGAAACATAGTTGATTAGCTGTTTACTCCACAATCATCAGCTATAAGTCTCTGTTTACGAGATCAAGGTAATCATTATCAATCCTATTCTAGACCACTCATCTAATTTTCCATCAAACATCTTTTATTGCTAGTTATGCTTGTCCCTATGTCACCACCAGCCCCACCACCTCATCTCCAACTCTAGGCCACCCTAAACACATCATAAACAATTACTCTAGTTCGAGGACATTTCCATGCTTCTTAAGATCTTAGACTGGTTTTGAAAGCAACGCATCCTACTATTGACCCTAACTGCAATCATAGTCTTACTGTGACTACCCATATAGGATATGCATTTAAGTTGGCCACCCTTCATTTATATTAGCATTTGCTGATTTCTCTAGAAATCAGTCACATGTGTGGTGTATCCCACATGAATAGCATTATTAACTAGCGCAGTTAAAAAGAAGAAGAAAAGAAGATGAACGAATCAAAAAAGCCCAATTCCAAAATTTGGGACTTTCTCCTCTAAAGTGTGCTTCATTAAGTAAAAGGCACCACATCCTTCAGCGTAAAAGCAATGATTAAAGGCCAGCATGTAAGTATGCATCAGTAGATAAAAATGACACAGGAAACTTACATCCGATCTAGAGAGATTGATTGCATGCCCATCCTGTTCAGGCACATTATCTGCACCTGCAACTCGTGTGACAGGCAGAGAAAGCGTTCTTTTTGTCTTTGCAGACAAAAACACCTGAGTGAGAGAAATTGACCGTGAAGTCGAAGGCCTATCCTGAGGTTCCTCAAGTGGAGATGCACCAGAAGCGAGCAGGCCAGACTTTTCACTCTCGAGGGACAAGCTTTTCATTGGAAAGCTCCTTTGCAGATTCAAGTTTCTCACAGATCCCTTCGTTCTAGTGGAATTGGGTCGAGGAGGCAATCCTGATCGTGTGGATGTTGGAGTGGCTAGAGACAGAGTGCTGACTCTTGTGGGTGCGGGCAATGGGTTTCCTGATGGTCTTGCGGGTATCTGTAATGTGGTTAAGTTTGGAGACCGCCTAGACCTTGCAGCTGGCTGAATTTCCCCACCATTGCACTCATCCAGGTTCAATGCCTGCAAAGTCGTCAAGACCCTTTGGTCAAACGGATTCAAGAATGGGCAGGGGATGCTAATATGTCGATGTTCATCTTATGGAATCATCCTCGATGTATACACTGTAACTAGCATGAGCATAGCTCCTAAGAGCAAAAAAAAGGTGGTAAAAAAATATAAAGGCGACTTAGAAAGAGGTTATGACGCAGGGATTGAATGAACTAGCCTTACAGATGTGGCTAGAAGAAGTATTGCATGAGCATATGTCACAATCATAACATGGACTATGCAAAAAAATAATCATCGAAATAAAGGTCATTCACAAATCCTTTCTTTCAGAGGAAAGAATATAAAACAGGACTGTGGATGCAAAAATTCCCTTTCCCAAGAAATAAATCAATAAATTACTGAGCAGAGCCTCCACCAGGGCCACGCCTGGAGCAGCGGCAAGAAAGGAAGAAAGGAAGGAAAAAAAGAAAAACGAACACTGATGAGGGCAGCAGGACCAAGAGAAGGCTCACCTCGGGGCACTCCAATCTGACGGCGGTTTCGGCGGGAGCCCCGGAACTCTCCATCGCGGGTGCCGGCAAAGAATTCACCTGCGAGCCACGTCAGGCGCCGACGAGGTCACCGGAATCATCAAAACGAGCACCCAGATCACTACTGCTCACGATCTCTACTCTGTTGGTTTCCAAGAAGAAATTTCCTCCTGGGTGTCGCCCCCAACAACGGTATCTGCTGTGACTGAGGCAGGCAGCGAAATCTCAGCTGTTCTCGGCCTCCTTCCGAGTGGGGAAGGATAGGAAGGGGCTCGATTAGGTGCCCGGCTCAGGTCGACCTCTATTGACCAGCCCTCCAACGGGGAGTGTACACGCTTATCTAACACTAGCGAGGAAAGCTTGGACCTTGAAAGGCCACCCCCGCACCTCCGCCTGAAAGTGCCTGCAAATCGCGTTGGTGCTCCGTCAGGGTCAGTTACGATGCAACGGTACGTCCCTCCGATTGACTTGTCAACTAAACTATATTTTAATCAAGTGGAGACAATCATTTTTACAATTTCTTATACATGAAAAATTATAATAATAATAATAATAGTCAGGAGCATTAACAGACGAGCTTGGCGTCTAATCACCCCACTAATTATGCCCGAGTGGCGAAAGAGAGAATCTAGACGAACCCAAGACTAGAAGATCTTGTCGGATGATCTGATCTACAAGAGCTTTACCAAGGATTGACGAGGATGAGATGCATGCTAGGATTAGAAGATTTGCAGTAAAGATCATCTCGGAGATTAGAATCCCCCCGGGAGCATCTGCCTCGGGAAAGTCAAATGAGTGAGAAATCAATCTAATAATTTCTGCCCTCGTGTGGCATGACGACCCTCCCCTGAAAGTCAAATGAGTGAGAAAGTAATATAATTAGTCATCAGCGTCGCTCCGACAACGGGCGAAGGCTGCAATTTTCAGCCTCTCCTATGCAAGCACAGAGCACGGCAACAACTCAGGCTCAGCGTACTGCCGCGTAAAAACAAACTCTGGTCTGGTCTCTGCTGACCTCCCAAATATAGATCAAGAACACAAGTAACAATCACAAAATGCGTTTTGAAAACCAGAAACAGCAACTAATAACCACCCGACTGTCAACATAGTCGTTCAACACAACGAAGAGGGACAAAGAGATGGAATCTCCCCCCCCCCCTCTCCCCAACCCCAACCCCAAGCAAGATACCACTCACCTCAGGTATATTCTACACTGCCCACATCGGCAGTGGAGATGGACAGAGATGGTCCTCGTCTATTAATTTTTTTTAATACACGAAGCATAAATTCGGAGAGGAACTGAAGGCACAGTGAGTGAGACCGACTCAGCCAGCAGCGGTGTTGCAGCAGATCAGCTTCAGTTCTTCAAAGCAGCTGTCAGTGACAGAGACCTCAGCCAGATGTTTCCATATCTCCCCCTCTGTAGCCTTGTCGAGGTCCGCCTGATCGGTGAACACCAGGTGGCCCCCACACTCCCACGCCGCAAGGTGGGGATGGCCGGGTTCCAGAACCTGGCCAGCCAAGCCATGAACGCCATCGGAGATCAGTTTCGGCCCCTCACGGGCATGAAAACTCCAGCAACCAAATATTTTCTAAGCAGAGGGGAAATTATAGGATTCCAGAGCCTCAGAACTCGGAAGCGTTTCAATGTTTACCTGAGGAAACAGGAAAACCTTCAAGCCAAAGTCGGAAACCAGCAAGCTGAATTGAGTGTTTTCTCTCTCTAGATGAGAGCAAATCTCACTAACTTTGCGGGCAAGTGATTGATGCTCCTTGCCGATGAACACCAGAGCCTTTGTGGGGTAGTCCGCGAGCTCATAGATTTGTATGCCTCCTTCCTCTCCAAAGAATGGAATAATAGGCGTGAACTCCACAGGAAATGGATTTGGGAAGTAGCAGGCCTGCAGATGGGGATCACTGGCATTGCATGAACAGGAGTGGCAATCTAGTTTTCTTCAAGTGGTTACAAAAACATCCCATCTATTCTCAGCTACGAATTACCACGAAGGAACCATTTATGTAGATAAGTCCGTGATCATAATCCAAAAATGTTGCAAGTCCATGCACGTTACACAAGAGGAGACAAAGAGTCAATGGAGTATGCTACCTAATAACATAAGATCATAGAGTTAGCAATATCTTCTCCAACTAGATTTGATGGCTAACTTCTGGGATCTTGAGTGCTTACTTTGCAGTGTAGATTATAGTTCAAAGATGGCCACCATTCCGGTATGTGCCAATGTGAGGAAAAGTTACGATCGTCTATTTTGATGTTTTATCTAGATATAAATTAGCAAACATGATGAACAAAAATAAAAACCAATTCGAAATACTGGGAATTTACTCTAACAACTCTGTCAACGCCACATGAAATATAAATTCACAAGTGGAGGAGAGCAGGAAATCAACCATGATGGGGTAGGATCACTTTACCTGAAAGTACAGGTGAGAACTCGAGGAAGGACGGTCATAGAATGCATAAAAGGTGCTGTTCTTTACTTCGGAAGAAAACCGAAGGACAAACTCCAAGGATTTCTTGTCAGTAGCATTTGGTGGCTGATATAAATTGCAAGGTACTATGAAGATATGTCCATACTCAACAGGGTTCGCCTTCAAAGCAAAAAATAAATAAATAATGACAAGTTAAGAATCCAAATGCACTGTGCAATAAGTTAGCTCTATTGTTCACATTAATAACAATAAGATGCCATCTTTGGAATTGGGATCCTCACATTAATAACAATGAACATGCCATCCAGTGGAATTGTTGCTGAAGAGACAATCTCAGGACTGTCCTTATCTCCGTCCGCAACACAGAACAGCAAATCCTCAAAATCAGGCTTCGCATGGTTAAATTTTACACAGTCTGTTCGATTCACTTTGGCCTGATCTTCTTTAAAGGAGTTCGCATTCCAACTCTCGTTCAACAGGACGATGAAACTTTTCCCTCCAACGACGACCTATAAAATCATCAAAAAGACCTCAGAAAAATTAAGTAAAAATCCTTTCTCAGGCAAATCCAAGCATCTACATAATACTACATGTAGAATTATGCGCAAAAGAATACCTTGGTTTCACAGGAGTTCACATCATATCTGAGAAGGCCCTTCAGTGCACGATCTTCCCACTGCAAAAATAATCACAAGAAAAAATTACAAAAAAGTAGGCCGTTGGAAGGTAAATAGAACATAAGGATGCCCTCTCGGATCTCTGTAATCACTGGGTGGTTCAGGGAGATATCCTTCTCCTTCATATTTGATTTTTCATTCTGCACCTACTCTTCCTGCTATTCTTATGTACTCTGTCTCATCTCCCACTTTTCTTGTCTTGTTCCTTCTTCACCTCATCCACTAAACTTCACCATTACCCGTCCATCAGCATCACCATATTTCCTCTTTCACTTCCGCTCCTCGTCTCCCTCCAGCTCCCCATTTCCTTTTCAGTCTCAATCTCATCTAAGAACTATTTGATGACTAGTAAAAGATAAATGCAAAAGGTATGAAAATCAAGAATATATACCTGTGCAAGAAGAAGAGAATCCAGTAAACATTGTTCCTCACTAGCACGTGGAAAACCCAAACACCAATCACGATCAGAAATGTTTGATGTGCCAAACCAGAAGACAGGAACACTTGCATCTACAAGAGTCAAACATGATTGGAAACATAATAAAATTAGCATGCTCATGATATACAGGAACAAAAGAATCAACATTAAAATAAGGGAAAATGCATAAAATCTACATTATTCTGACAAGCACACAGAACATTGGTTTTCTCATTCATCTCATAGCATAAGAAAAAAAGTCATCTTCGCACAAATCATGAAAAGATGAAGTGGTAGGAACGAGTGAATGAACGACTCTGATAGAGAAAAGATTACAATCCAATGGAAAAGAATGACATCTACAATCTAAAATCCTATTACAGTACCAGAAAACAAAATTCTTGCTGAAACAGTTCTTCATCGAAATTTAAAATGTATGGAAAAACATTATACGGCACAGTTGCTATCTGAGGGCAAGAAAGCTCATTTAACAAGATCCAAATAGTTTTTATAATAAAAGGATCAAATTCCTTTGCCACGTGCATTGGAATGAGGAGAATTATTAGTTGCTTCAAGAGTAGTAAACCCCCAAGTTAGGATAAAACGTAACAAGGAACATCTCCTGAAGTAAAAGAACCAACAAAAGAAATTATTTTAAATTATTTCTAGAATTTTGCATTTCTTCATGACACTCGATTAGAAAGCAAGTCATCCAAATGTGTATCAAAAATAGAATTTCGGGTTTAATTTATAGATAAAGGAGAACTCAGAGCATCAAAATTCAAAAGATATTTCAGAATTAAAGCAAACAGTACCAAGTAGCCTTTTAATTTAAATATGTAGCATGTACTGATGTGATTCTATTTTGCAACAGTTCACCACTCTCCATAGCATTTCAAAATGCAATGGAATTCAACACTACAATATAATTCTTCAAAAGTTAGTTTTGTTGGGTGGTGGCTGGAAATGATTATCAAACGCCAATTTGAAGTTTACCCAACTACATTCGTCTGTTTTCCCAGATAAAAAAATATTTTCCCCAGAACAACAAAGGTGAAATGTATGCAGAGTGTAGCCGACATGGCATCAAAATTCCCAGAGGAAAGTGAAAGAATACAAGGGAATTTCCCACCTGAAAAAAGAATCAATATGAACGGAATTTAGAAGAAAAGACCGAGATATAAGCTTAGATCACAGGATCTTCCACGAGCTGACCATTTTTCTCCCATCTACAGCTGAATCCCTGAGAACTAAGATCCCCTCCTCTTTTTAAATGAAGCGTTCAACCTATTATACCGGCCATAAGAGGGAAAGACTAAAAATTGTAAGAGCCCGAATGGAATATTATAAGAATTGCATGGTAATCAACATTACGATCTTCATGACGTTCCCAAAGTAAAACTTAACTGATTAGACAGGAAAATATATCCGACATAGTTCACAAAGCATTTTCAACATGAACCATCCAATTCATGATCCTTTTTAAGTCAGATTCGTTCTAAGCCATTTCAGAATTCAAAATCTCACTAAGTGGCATTCAACCTAAGGCAGGAAAGTATTGAGCACGACAACAACGTAAGCAGTGAATATTAGTACAACAACAACAATGCATGTAAGTGAATTGAGTAAAAATGGATCAGTGTTGGACCGACCTCGAAGGAATGCTTTTTTAGACTGTTCTGAGCTTTTGTTCTGCCTCATACGAGGATAATCACCTTCAAACTCTACTGAGACCATTCTTACAGATGCTTGAACAAATCAACAGCTAAACAAAAACTCACAGAAGAACTAACCAGGCAGATTTCAGTACCCCCCACCAGCAAGGAAGGTCAGATCTGCCGGATGCCCACCAGCAGATGGTAGGGCACCCCGACCACCATGGAAGGAAGGGGATGCAATCAAAAACTTAGGGCAACCTTGGGTGCATCTTATTCCCCTTCTGATGTTTAGGCGGGTTTTTTCGCTTAGAGCCGTGGTTGAATTTCTTAAGCCAGCCCTAATTGGACCAGCTATCCCCAGAAATGACAAGGTGCCTGGAGAGAAATGCAATCAAAATTAGCAATTCCCGATCAAAGATTCCAAAGCAAACCTCCCTTCCCTGGATAATGCGCATGAAGTCAGATTTAGATCAGAGAGTAGCAAACAATGAAGAGAATCTAAAAACATTATTTCATTTACCGAGAAATAATAAACAAGGAACTACGCCACTCTTCCCACACCAAGACCAAGGACAAGACAGTGGTTTATTTACTCTACGGTCTCCCGAACAGATAAAGCTTTGCACGTAACCTACCACCGACGCAACACGAGAATAACAAAGCAAACACTCGGTTGGTTCGTGTTGTCAGGGAGAAATCCAAAACCATAAAGCTATATTTGGTTCGTGTGCAAGAAAGGGCGATAGTTATCGGCCAATCGACGATTAAGAAACTTGCCACCAGGCAAAATAGTCTACAAAACAGAGGGCTGGAATAAAGCCAGAATTACCCTACCAACTGGCCTCAAAAAAGGGGGAAGAGACGTCTTCACAATGACATCGATCCAGATCGCCTCAATAGTGAATCAGGCGATCAACATGTCCTTCAACGTCGACAAACCCAATCCCACCCTCATTCAAGAAGCAAATATTCACCGTTTCCCAGCCCCCAAACCGTTAATTACCCGCCACCGACGCAGGAAAACGAATTCCTTCACCCAATGGCCGACCAGAATAAAAAATCGAGGGTGAGGAGGGTGAAAATCGGTGATTACCAAGAACCTCAAAAAAAGGAAAAGGGCCGGCGCCAGGAACCTCGTCGGAGACGAAAGCAATTACCCGCCGTCGTGTTCTCCTTTGCCCAAGGGGCCCTCCCCCGAAGTTGATTCTTCCTCTAAGGTGTTCCACACGTGCGACGCTTCCACGTGTCGTCCACAGAGCTCCTGTCACAAATATTGGATCACAGGTGGGGGCCGTTCCCACGTGCGTATCTTGGCTGCCGCTCTCCACGAGCAGAACAAGAGGTATGGTCGCAATTATTAGCTCAAGGAGGGGTATTTACAGCAATATTAAAGCGGGAGGGAGCGGGGAATGGCAGAGAAATGCCGCCCTGCGGACCACGGATTACGAGCACGTGCGCCGCTCTCTGGTGTGGACCATGCTTCGTACTGGCGCTTTTAGTTCAATGTCCTTTAAAACACCACGAACTTTTAATTGCACCCCCGATCGAGGCGGCCTAGAAGGTCAGTGTGGGGAGTATTTTTCATCTTTTAAGAATTTACTCAGCCTTCTTCGATTATTTGATGCGGTAGAAAAACCGTATCATGAAACGCGTACGATTCATATATAATTTATTTATTTTAAGAAATAGCACTCTAATTCGAGGGATTTATCTACAAATGCAATGATATCGCCATTATTGCTGAATCAAGATATCTAGAGCCAAGAAAATGATTGATGCCAATATAGTGAGAGACTGGGGAGGGGCTAAGAAAATTTGATGAATCGAGAAGTTACTATACCGATTATTTGTCTCCCATCTACTTTGAAAGGGTACTCATACGATGCCCAATCATAATTTATTCCTTCTCAAGCCCGACCCATTTGATGTAGTGATAAAGGGTAGAGAGAGAGAGAGAGAGAGAGAGAGAGAGAGAAGAAAAATGAGTCTGAGGATTGAAACAGAAGTCAAAGTTGAGACGCAGCTCATATATGGGCCGAACTGGGCTGGGCCCCGTTCCTAGCCAGGTCACATCCATCGACGTCTTGATTTACCTTTCTTTTGGCACAAAGAAGAGAGAGAGAGAGAGAGAGAGAGAGAGTGAGAGAATTCTGAAAATAATGTATACACCATCCGCTTTGGTGAATTCTCTCTCTCCCCCCTCGCGGTGATCGGGAAGAAGGGAAGAGGCTTAAACTGGGACCAGTTAAAAAGGTGAAAATTCGTCTGAGAAAATCCACAGTCGTCGGCGTCAGTTGGGGAAAGAAGGGTTCTGGCTCAGCGCAGTAGCTCTCCTCGCACCTCCCGCGGACAAGGCCATGTGCCCACACTGTAGATGCCCCCCCCCAATCTCCCTCCGGCAGCCCCCCCGTCGCCGCCGGCCCCCCGTAGAATAATCCTCGCGAGAAAAAACATGGCGCCGGAAGGGTTTCCGAGAAATTATTTGGGACAGGTCTGAAGAGGGGCGGCGGCGCTCGCCGGAGGAAGAAGACGCCTCCCGGAGCTTGATTTATTTACGGTTTCCTCCTTTTCGGCCCCAGCCCGCCGCCTTTATAAGGGATAAAGCGGTGAGGAGTTCACCTCCTCTGTCTTCTTCCTCCTCCTCGGGCTGACCCCACGCGGTTTCTTCACTGGGACGGTGAATCCCGCCCCCATCTGTGGACCTCGCCTCTGCGTCCGCGGCCGGTGGGACTACGCCACCCCGCCCTTCCTTCCTGTGGGCTTCTCATCGCAAGGTACGGCAGAGGACGCTGGGAATTGGAAGGTTTTGGGGCTCCTTCAGTGGGAATCTCGGGTTTGTGGCTAGGTCTCGTTCATTTTCCTCTTTCCCACTCGGCCAGGGTCTGGTTCTTCTCAGCCGAGATCCGGGATCTTGGCGGGAGTGATCTCGAATGTGGGAGATCGTTCCGGCGAATTAGGGGATCTGCCGCTGCAGTCGGTGGCCATTCCTCCTCGCTGATGAAATGAAGAAGACTTGGCGGCGGAGCTCGTAGCCGATGCCCTAGTCGGAACCCGTAAATTCCTCTCTTCCTCTTCCACTCTCTCTCTCTCTCTCTCTCTCTCTCTCTCTCTCTCTCTCTCTCATCCTCATCCTTCGATTAGTGTTCAGTTTCTGACAGAAATCCTCTGGATGTTCTTCCTCACCTCTCCCCCACCTGCATTTGCTGCGTTCTGCGCCCGCGGAACCATGTTGAATTCTTCTTCTTCATCTTCTTCTCGATGTGCTCGCAGCGGCTCAGTATTTCCGCGTCTGCAAGGTTTGCTTCTATCGACGGACGACATGGTGGATTGAGCTATCGTCCGGTCCATCAATCTCCCGATCTACCGAGGGTCTTCCAGCACAATCTTCAAGAAACGCCGGCACAATCTTCAAGAAAGGACCTCGCCAGGATGGCCCCGAGAATGGGGATTCCACTGCTGCTGCTCCTGTTGTGTCTAGTCTTCCCCTCCTTGCTCCTCGGCTCGGCGGAAGGTCAAAACGCCGAACCCATCCTGATCAACTGCGGCTCCAACTCCACTATCCAGGCCGGCGGCCGGACCTGGATTGGAGATTCCCTCCCCGGCGGCAACGTCACCCTCAGCTGCCCCGGCGTCAACGCGTCGGGCATTGCCGTCGGCAAGAACTTACTGCTCGGATCTCTGTACAGAACCGCCCGGGTGTTCAACGCGAGCACCAACTACACCTTCAACCTGTCGTCCTCGGGGAGCTACTTCCTCAGGCTCCACTTCCACCCGCTCCAGTCTGCGGGCTTCAGCTCGAACACCTCCGAGTTCGAGGTGACCGCCAACGGCCTGAAGCTCCTCTCCAGGTACAATGTCACCGGTGAGGTGGATCGGAAGAACGCCTACTTGCAGAGCCTGATGGGGAGCAACTCGACGGCGGCGGCGTCGTCCTCTTCCTCCTCCTCCTCCTCCCTGGTGAAGGAGTACTTCCTCAACGTGAGCTCCACCGTGATCTGGGTTCAGTTCGCCCCCTCCCCGGGCTGCTTCGCATTCGTCAACGCCATCGAGGTGGTTCCCATCCTGGATGGCCTCTTCTTCGACCCCGTGACGAGGGTGGGCGGCGGCGCCGCCGCAGCCGCGAGCGTCGACCGGGGGATGGAGACCATGTACCGGGTGAACATGGGGGATCGCGAGGTGAAAGCGGAGCGAGATCGGGGCCTGTGGCGGAGCTGGGAGACGGACATCAAGTACATGTTCTCCTCCCTGGCAGCGAAGACCATCTCCAATTCCTCGAACATCACCTACGCCGACAGCAACCGCACCTCCATTGCGCCGCTGCCGGTGTACGAGGACGCGAGGACGATGGTCAACGACGACGTGGTGGAGAAGAGGTTCAACGTGACATGGAAGTTCTACGTCGACCCCGGCTTTGACTACCTGGTGCGGCTCCACTTCTGCGAGCTCGTCTACGACACGGAGAACCAGAGGGTCTTCAGGATCTACCTCAACTTCCGGAACGCCGCCGATAACTACGACATCCTCGCCAAGGCCGGCGGCAAGGGCAGGGCCTACTGTCAGGATTTCGTCGACTCGGCGCCGGAGGAGATGACCATCTGGCTGCAGCTCGGCCAGGACGCCACCACCGGCGCCCAGGACACCGACGTCCTCCTGAACGGCCTGGAGATCTTCAAGCTCAGCCGGAACGGGAACCTCGCGTTCGTCCCTGAGAAGACGACCGCCGGCGCCGAGGGCCCGCCGGGAGGACGGCCCAAGCGTGGTGGGAACCAGTGGGTGCCCATCGCCGCAGGCGTCGCTTCCACAGCCGCCGCCGTGATTGTCTGCGCCGCCGTGGTCTTCTTCCTGTGCGCCCGCGCCCGCGCGCGCAGGGGCAAGGCGCCGCCACAGGTCAAGGGAGGAAATCCCCCTCCGGCGTGGCGGCCACTGGTCCTCAACGGCGCCCTGGCGAGCGCCGCCGCCGCCGGTGATGCCCAGGGGGCAGCGAAGGCGCCGAACAGCAATGGGGCTTCGAACAGGACCGGGAGGCGGTTCGCGGTGGCGGATATCCGTGCGGCGACGAGGAACTTCGACGAGGCGCTGGTGATCGGGACGGGGGGCTTCGGCAAGGTGTACAAGGGCGAGCTGGAGGACGGCCGCCCGGTGGCGGTGAAGAGGGCGCACCCGCAGTCGGAGCAGGGGCTCGCCGAGTTCGAGACGGAGATCGCGATGCTCTCCAAGCTCCGGCACCGCCACCTGGTCTCAATGATCGGCTACTGCGACGAGCAGCAAGAGATGATCCTAGTCTACGAGTATATGGCCAACGGGACCCTCAGGAGCCACCTCTACGGCAGTGGCGGCGGCGGCGAGCTCCGAGCGCCGCTGCCGTGGCGATGCCGCCTGGAGATCTGCATCGGCGCCGCGCGAGGGCTGCACTACCTGCACACGGGCGCGGACCGCGGGGGAATCATCCACCGTGACGTGAAGACGACCAACATCCTGCTGGACGAGGACCTGGTGGCCAAGATGGCGGACTTCGGCCTGTCCAAGGACGGGCCTGCGCTGGACTGCACGCACGTTAGCACCGCCGTGAAGGGGAGCTTCGGTTACCTGGACCCGGAGTACTTCCGGCGGCAGCAGCTCACCCAGAAGTCCGACGTCTACTCCTTCGGCGTCGTCCTCTTCGAGGTGGTCTGCGCGCGGCCGGTGATCAACCCGGCGCTCCCCAAGGACCAGATCAACCTCGCCGAGTGGGCCGCGCGCTGGCAGCGGCAGGGGGCCCTCGCCGCCGTCGCCGACCCGAGCCTGCTGGAGGGGCACTGCTCGCCGGAGTCCCTCGGCAAGTTTGGGGAGATCGCCCTCAAGTGCCTCGCCGACGAGGGACGCTGCCGCCCCACCATAGGGGAGGTCCTCTGGCACCTCGAGTACGTCCTCCAGCTCCACGACACCTCCCAGAGGAGTCTCCTCTTCGACCCCTCGCCGCCGGACGACGCCCTCCCCGGCACCATGGCTGCGCCGCTGGGCTCCTCCTTCCCCGACGACCCCCAACCTCATCACCAACAAAACCGTGCAGACGATGACTCCGCCGCCGCCGCCGGCGACGACACCCCTCCCCTTCCCTCCTCGGGAGCTTGAGCAACCACACCCACCAACCGTCCTAGAGATTCGTCATCGCCGGAGCCATCGATCATCGGCACCAACCAAAGGTTGCTGACTTTCCATCTGTAATTTTTTTCTTCTTTTCCCACCTACCTCCAGGAGTGTGTCCTGGCGGTCTATGCTTTGTATATACACACACACACACCTCTCTCTCTCTCTCTCTCTCTCGCTACCCACTCACAGCCATGCACGGCCTGAATTCTTTGAGCAGTTGCCGCCTTTCAGAATACGTCGTCGTTCTTGGTGGCGCTGGTCCGTTGAGGCCATGCATTTCGGAGGGCCCTGCTCCGAGAGGAGGAAGAGCGGTGGGCACGCTTCGTTCTCGTTTTGTTATGTTCTTGAGACGTCATCCTTCTGGTTGAAGCTGGGCGATGAATGCCAGAAAACCCACGACGTTGATTCTCGGAAATGTAGTTGAGTTTTCGGAAGAATTTCCTCTTTATTTAATTCTCTCCAATCCGTCAAAAGAACTGACAGTTAATTACCAATTACGGAAGAGTCCGTGCGGTTGATCTTGCCCGCAGCAAGAAGCGGCCGTCGCCTTCCGGTAAGCGAAAGGAACAATCAACCGCCTGCCGCCTGCCGCCTGCCGCCTGCCGCCCTCCACTCCGTTCTATTCAATCAATTACTGCTCCTCCGTTCCGCCTGGTTATTCATGCTCTCATGAAATAGCCTGCAAGAGCAGGGTGACCTTGAGAATCCCGGCCATCTGCAACTCCGTGATTCGAGTACTGGTTTTTGGGGTTTTGGCCAGAAGAAGGGGGCGTTGAAGGGGGAAAAGAAAAAGAAAAACACGACAGCCGCTGCGGCAATCAACCTCGGACAGCTCCAATTCGAGATCTGACGTTTCTAGGGTTCCTCCTTCCTAAGAGACTGGCGGCGGCGATCAGCATAACCGGGCCCGTCCACCGCTCCCCCCATACTTTTACTGCGCACGAAGAAGTTGGTATATCTGATAGAATAGATCGCTAAATGCATCCTTCTGCTAAAACGCCACAACAGCAGCACCAGCGGCAGCCACCCAAAGAATGAGGCCATCCTGAGGCAAACCCTAATCCCCACCAAGGAACAAATTATGGAGAGAAATGAAGGGATGGGCCGTCTCTCAGTTGGGCATCATGTGCTCGAGCCCGGTCTGCAGCACAGAGACGCGACCGGCGGTGCTGATGTTGTGTATCAGCTGCTGGAGCCACCGGCGGGTGGTCGGGTCGTCCTACAGGCGGCGATTCGACCGTCAGGGAGGGGGCCAATGCAGAAGAAGCCAGAGTTTTTCCGACGAGGGGAAGGGCGACTCACCCTGAGGCATTGGATGAAGGTCCCGTCCCTCAGCATCTCCGGCAGGCAAGACTTCAGAGCTTCGCACGCCCTGCCGACCACAAACCCAGACCTTCAAATTAGAAGAAGAAGAAGAAGAAGACGACGAAGAAGAAGAGCGACGTCCAATGCAGGGACCTCGGATTATCAGATAGCCGGAGATAGCAGCGGATGATGTGCTTCAGCAGGCGCGTGGAGGGCTGCTCGGCAAGGGAGGCGACCATGGTGGCCAGGACGCGACCGACGGCGAAGAACCGCTCCGCCGTGGCGCAGATGTACCGCAGCCCAACATCGTCCAGCAGGATCTTCTGCACGATGAAGGTCGCCACCTGCGAGCTCGCGCACAGTCGCCACCAAAATCAACGACAAGATAGAAAAGTCAATTTTCCGCAAAGATATTGAAAAAAGTCAACTTCACATTGGCCAAGTGGGTAAATCGCCCCCCCCCCGCCCCCGGAAGAGATCGATGGGCCATCATCACTTAGATGGGTCGAGCACAGAGAAACGTAAGCAAAAGCATCGACGGGCAAGCGGGCTACGCACAGTTTTTGACAGCTCGCTGCCCATCTCCATGGTGCGCAGACACAGAGGGATGATCTCCGTCGAGAGGAGGAAGTTGATGACCTCCGTGTCATCAACCTGCAGAGGAAAATTTCAGAAGATCGAGCCGATCCTTTCCTCAAAATGCGAAACTGAACGACGGCAAGGCATCAAAAATATTTTTTTTCAAGGAGAAGTAAACTGCTAAAAAGCTCCCTCGGGGAGAGCTGACGGTGCAGTCTGGTCGCTATTCTATCCGAGAGAGAAATGAAAGCATGGAGAGGATCTCAAAGACAAGTTCGATTGCCCCGACCTTCACGAGCGCACCGATGACCCCCAAACTAGTGAGCCTCAGATACTCGAACGGCCTGGTTTTGCTGGTTGTGTTTAGAAACGGGTACAGATACAACGGTATATGAGCTGCACATTGAAAGAAAGCAAGATGCATCAAACACCATATCGAGCAAGAAATTGCAAGATGCATCAACACTACCACTGCAAAATGGCCAGCATGAAATTAGCAGGCCCTCCGATGATATCAAACCAGTGACCTAAGAGAGACCGAAGGGATCCTAACACAGCCATTCGCAGCGACCCCATCAAGCTCACATCAAATGAAGCGAGTATGCATTCGACATGACGCTGGGCAGAGGGGGCGAGGAAATCGACCCATTCCGTCTCTCTAGCCATTTTTAAGAAATCCCTCGGCTACGACTCATGAACATCATCACCAAGATCGCACCACGTACAGATGTATCTCTGTGTGGGAGCATTAAAATCATGTCCGGAGACTGCAACACCAGGGAATCGCGTATAGCAAGGACGAAGATATCCTCTCTACAGAAGGTGGCATGGAAGAATCGCAAAAAGGAAAAAGCTTACAGTTGCCGCTTCGTAGCTCTGGAGCTGCAAATACCAATCTAATTTAATCCGACAACAACAAGGGCAATAACAGTCGCATACACCAAAGTGAAATTACCATTTAAGAAATGAATCCTTGTGTCTGGATGTGATGCCACACACTGCAAAAATGACAAAATGGGAGCATTGAGAATCAACTCGAACAGCCAAAACGCTGGAGATGGTAACAAGTATTCACTGATATTTCTATACAACATTTGGTAAAAAAGAGCGAAAGGGAAAAAAAAATTGTTCACATGAGGAAAGTTAGAACTGAAGGCCAACCAGCTATTCCACTCAAACATTCAAAGATGGGGGGGAGGGAGGCCCATAGCTCATCAACAGAAGATGTACTCTGGCATTCTTCAGATCGAAAATGGAGAGACGGACGCAGAAAATGTCGAGAAGAATGAGGCACAGAATTTAGGTTCAAGAACAATGCACGGTCCACTCATGTGCACACAAATCTATGGCATCAGACAAGATAGCTAAGAAGCTACCTTATCGGTAAGACGTAGAGAACTTATACGTCAGCCGAAACCTAGACAGCAAATCATCAACACAAGGAAAAAAACTAGTGGAAATAGATTCGTCATAATGCAGCAAATGGTGCCTCTGTCAGCTCAAAAAGATCCGAATGACTAGTTGAGAAGGTAAAAGCAAATCTAAAAATAACACCACTTCATGTATTGTGCCAGGCCGAAAAACGATATCTGCGTAAAGAATAGACAGGAATTCAGAAAGAAAAAGGGGGTGAAAAGGATGAGCATTTTGTATGGCAATGTCCCACTCGTTTCATCAACATGCTTAAATCATTGGTCAAAGTGATCTAAGATGTTTATCAGTAGGCCTGTAAAAGCAGAAACTATTTGCATTAGTTTCATAAAACATAAGACGGGCTTCCATATAAACGAGGATGGATCACGGCTATCTTGATATAACATAGAGGGAGCAGTCATTTGATGTTTTGGGTTGAGAGTTGGATAAACAGGTCTAAATCAATAAAATGTGGACCGACAAATCCTTGCGGTGATTTTGTTAAAAAAAGCATCGTAAAACAAAATAGAGCATTGCATATTTTGAACTAAGACATTCCTGGAACCCAGATTCCCAAGCATACAAACACTGCCGCATCATTTGATTGAATAAAAATTAAGAGAACTGCTGGATCGAAAAGTTGTGCTAATTGCCACTATAAAAAAAAAATACCACTCATCCCGACCAGAAGGCCATAAAAAATTCGTAGGAATACCATAGACTGGTAGCATCAAGAATTCGTTTAACTAAAGGTCAAGGACATCATGTCTGTGACTCAAGCAAGGGTAGATCAGGTTGGCTAAACAAAACCACACACACACAACTATAATGCACATGTAATATGACACTCGAAAAATAAAACGTTTTTGGTGATAAAAACGTAATAGACATGGTTCGGATATCATTCTTGACAAAGAAAACCGTCTTCAAAAAAGTAATTATAATATTTAGTTGTTTGTGTCGTCATAATGATTGATGTCACCAGGGTGGGTTTGACTGAGCTTCACGAAATAGTGGTGGGACGCTACTGTTCTTTGGTGTTTATCTCGAAAAGCTCAGATGTTCATTTGCTAAGATTAGATGCAACAGTGACTACGTGATTTTGGGTTACAGGTAGGATGACCATGCAACATCATCAGATGAGTAAGCAAATCAACCTTCCTAACACCTTTGGAAAGGCCAAAGTTAATGAGAAAACGACTTGATTACTGCTTAGTGGGCTGGAGCCAGTAAAGTCGGTAGTGGGATGATTGCCCCAAAAGCAATCTGGTTCCTAGTTATATGAGCAATAGAGCAACTGATAGCAGCTCTGTAATACTTGCGGAAAAATAGTGGAAACTGAAGGAGCACAGCTATTGGATAGTGGATGTATGTTGAAATCTGTGCACAATATATTGACGATCCACATCAATATATTGTCACTATTCTGATAGTTTACTAATGTAGTTATTGCATCCAAACCATAGACGAAATCTTAGAAAATTCGGGATCAAACAGACTGCCTCTCTACTATGATATTTTCAGTAAAAAGACTCTGAAAATAATCAATTCACTTACAAAGCAGAAGCATCATGCACAAAGCAAAAAAAAATAAAAATAATAAGATGCACTGCTACAATAACAACAAACTCAGTATAAGGTTTTTGTAATTAATTATTTGAATGGCTACCAATTACCAATTTCTAATTGCTCCTTGTTTCAAAGAATGCAGACCTCTACTTTTCTAAAAGTCATAGTTGGCAATGAAGGCAAGGGAACTCCCCTATTCAAAAAAATTCATATCTGCTAAAAAAGAAACACCAAACCTTCTATTGCATTAAAGTAGCAAGGATCCACCTTTCAACGCCCACATCTCCACACCTCAAGAAAGCTACTTGCACTAAATATGTAAACTTTACTTTTTTTTCATACAGGCTTATTGAAGAGTCATGAATCTAGAACTGGTGATTTAGCACCAGGCCAACTAAAGCTATGAACCTAGTGGTGTTGGGGTGAGTTGATGTCACCATGTTTAGCAATCGTTTAGGGAGGTCCCTTGAAAAGAGAGGAGCAAACTAAGAGCCCAACCACGATAAAAATCTTAGTATGTTACTCTTGTCCAAAAAAAGAGTTGATCACCTACACCTTCCAAACCTAAATAGTCAACTGACTTAGTTTGCATGAACTTGAATCGTGGTAGACTAGTCCTCGAGTAACACATACATCTAAGGAACAGTATACATCTTAGCCAATTGTATGCATCCTCAAACACATTAATTATCTGTACACATTCACCGTTTTTTGTGCCTAATCAGCTGTATGCATGGTCATCCTATGTATGCTGCTAGCTTCTACTACACCCCACTTGCACTACACGTCAATACTATGCACTTTGCATCATGCCATCCAAGGCCAGCACACCACCTTTCGCAATAGTGCAGAATTGGCCATTCCTAAAGGTGAATACTTGATATGGTGCTCCACAAAAAGTCTTACACAACTGTGTCATAGATGTTGTTGTACATTAGGCCATATACAATTGTGCTTTATGCGTAAATATGCTCTAGAACTATCTGACACGCCCAAGGTCCATATGAAAACCATACATGAGATGCGCCACCTTATGACGTCATGTTTTAATGCATATTTAAAAGCGACCAGAAAGCCAAAATATATCTAGATCTATCAGTGGAAGGTGTAGCACGTAATTCCCCTCCTCGAAATATTTGTACGTCTTCCCCATGGTATTACGGTTTAATGATCACTCCTTGTAGGGGGTAAAATGAGATGTCCACTACATTCACAACAAGCAAAGAAGGGTATGACAGGCACACTGTGGAAGAATACACATCGAGCGAGAGACATCTTGAAGTCGATCATATTTGTAAAAAATCCAGATGCTCTAAAACTTATAATCTAAAAGGCCCAAAACACAGTAATTCATTGTTTCCATGGGATCAATGATTTTAGCATATCTGGTTAGTTTCCTACTTTCTAAGAGCTCCTACCTCCTGACAAGTTTTGCCAGAGGATCCTCGCAGTTAAGAGAGTTAGAAGTATCACTTCTTATTGAGAGAAGTTGCAACTGTAGAAGAGCATATTTCGGCAGTAAGTCATTTTTTTACCTCGTCCTTGTGGATTGAATATTCCTTCTCTATTCTCTCCACTACTGTTACATGCTCTGGTCTACCCAGACCCTGTATGCATCGTATATGATAGCGGAGAGTAATTTCTGACTAAAATCTTCCTTTTCCTTCTGTTGGTGCGACCAGACTGCCTGGTCTTCTCATGCAGTACAGGAACATACCGTAGTAACTTCTGCAGCAACTATAATTTTGTTCCTGTAAACATATTGCCACCTTCAACTGGTTCATTCTATGGGAACAATGAAGAGTCCTCGTTGTTAGGTTAACATCCCAGATATTCAATTACTTTGAAAACTTTACAGGAAAATGAATAATCAGGTGTAATTCGGCATACCAATAAACATGTATTGACCGATTTAACAGACAGCGCAGTCACTAGCATTCAGAGAGATATACAAAGATGGTGAAGAGAATAAACAACTGTCTAGTGTTCCATCAAGGATTGAAAATTTGAACTTCTCAAAACAGTAACATCCATGATGGAATGCCAAGATATTGTTATGGCAACGGAAACTCATAAAGAAGGGGGAAACCATTACCACATAGTAGCAAAAACTAAAAGAGCTTCAAAGAACAATGCCCTTATGGACATCAGAGAAGAAGATCTGGCTGAGTTTATGATGGACCGGATCTTGAAAGGAACTTTCATAAATACATAAGCGAAAAGGAGGGCTGAGAGAGGCTTATTGCATGATCCACCCGCTAAGCTAATAAATAAATGCTGCTTAAGAGAGTGGGAGGCCGGCTCCTGCCCCGGAAGGAGGTGCACACCCATGATGGAACATATGTTAAGGCCTTCGGTGGATTCAATGGAGAACACAAATAAAAAATACGAAAAAACTCAAAGAAAAAATACAAAACAAACTAGCGCTTATTCAACATTACTTGAGAGGAGAAAAATTAACTGACCTGAAGAAGTGCAAGAGCATTGCATACTCGGTTTGAAGCAGCAGGTGTAAGTGTTGGAGGCGAAAGAACAGGGTATATCGAGACTATCTCCTGCATAACCATCAGGACACCGGTTGACTTAAATTGAAATCAAGGAAAAACTGACAGAAGATGCATTGCTATTATCCTCTCCCATAGACATTAAATAATACTGTGAGACAAAACTACCTCATATCCAGGATATAGCTATTATCCTCTCCCATAGATATTAAATAATACTGAAGCAACTCAACAGTTTTTAAGCAGAAGAAAAAAACCTACGCATTGAAAAGAATCCATTAAACCCTGAGAAAAAATAAGATACAAACCCTAAAGAGAAAATAAACTAGAAATGTAATTTTAATGAAAAGATTAACAAGTAAGTAAGGCTATTCTAAGAAAAAAAATATATTTTAATGGGAATTAACTCTTCATTTTCTAAGCATCAAAATACTTATTATGACAAGCCTCAAACAAAAAAGATCCGCACCTAAGCACTTTATACAACCTTGAGTCGCTTCTTCCCGTGCCCAAAGCTATATGCTTGCTTAAGTGTCCCCTTATTTATTAATGGAAAAAAATCCCACTTTTAGGGGCTAAGAAAACATGAAAATTGTAGTGGGTTAGAAAGGTATGTTTCATTGTTGAAGGCATAGGCTGATTTTACAAAACAAGACAATCATATAAAACAAAAGGCTCCTAACAGACAGACGTAATGTTGAAAATCTCCCTTTTCTACCACCAAAAACAGGCTCCTAATAGTCTTCTTTGTCACAGAATTATCATTAATTTACCCCCAAAAAAAAGTGTAAAAAATATAAAAGAACAATTCTGGATAATTGATTAAATAAAACCAGATTTTACGTCAAAACAAGCAACAAGAAGAATACCTGAAGCAGTGCTGCAATAGTTCCAAAAGAATTCCAAAGTAATGGAGCTAGATCTTGAAATATCTCCCTTTTCTATCACCAAGAAAAGTAATGTTTAAGTATGTAGAAAAGACAAACAATCAATCAATCAAAGAGTCAATTCCAAAAACAAGTTATTTTGATGAAATATGGCATGCCGAGCATCAATGAGGATACATCCCTTGAAAGCACCTCCAAATTAGGGATGATCTACAGTCCTGAAGATATCCAAAACTTTGGATATCATACTTGTCGCACTGGTGGTTTATCCAGTGAGAGAACACATCTCACTTACACAAGATTACCATGCATGCTCAAGTTTGTATTGGTGCAGAGGCATCAAACTAACCAGACACGTCTTCATGGGGAACGAGATTAAGCCATTCCCATCCCTTGCCTACCAAAATACCGATTTTTTTTCTGGACAATAGAATGCTGGAACCAAGGGAAAAGGCTATCCAGTGTTTTAAATATGCCTTCATCTGGATATTTTGATCAGGAGATACTGGAAATTGAACTGCTAATGGACGTCATGTCACGTGGTTGACTAGGCGTACTTGGAGTGTCATACAGAGAAACAGAAAAACCATTTCCTTTCTAAGGAAAAATCGAGAGCGACCGTCCCTGTCCTATGATTTCCGTTCACAAAGGAAAACCTTACCATGTGCAAACCCAAAATAGCGAACTTTAACTTTATCTATACATTGTGCCAAGCAATAATTTTGCCTTGAGTCCAAAAGCTTGAAGAAGGATCAAAGGTATTGACGCCAATAAAAAAAGACCCACCCGCACTGAGGACCATTTATAGTGTAACTTTACTCCCAGAAGCATATGATCCTCCCAGATTGCACCACAAGTTTAAGGTGTATGGAAAAAAAGCCAAAATCTATCAATCATAGCTATATCCAGAATAATTTATAATATAAATTTGCGTCATTGACCAAGATTTACTGTTTGGCGAGGCAGGTAGGAGCTATTTCGATAAAATTTACCAAGAAACTGTGGGCAGAGAATTAGTGACACCTACAAGTGACCTGAGTATAAGCTTCACAGGAGCCCCTGGTGGCACAAGTGAATGCTATCGACACACCCCCTCATACAATTTGAAGACCCATTATCAGCATCAACCCTCAAGGTGATACCCATAGCCTCACCAAAAAAATTGATGTTGATAACCCTACCAGCGGCCAACTGCTCCATCATACGGAACAGGTGTGAGTTTCAGATGCATATTTCTTTTTGCTTCACTTTTTAAACCACTGGCACACCGAACAAAACAAATAACATAAGGTGAGGGAGAAGTTCCCCCATAATCACACTGTCTTCAAAATAATCTTTCAAAAAAAGAAAAAATCATGCTCCAAAGAAAAGAATCCTCACATCTTCTAGAAGGATTTCAGAAAAGGATTCATTCCTACTAACGGTAATAGGTAAGATTCCACAGCAATTATCTTCCAAACTCACGAATTACCTTCTTGATCTGCACTACCCTGAAGCAAGAAAATGAGTCCAGAGCTTATTTAGGCCATTGATCCATCCTTTTTGGATTATCCAGAACAGCAACGGGTAGATTCGATTTCTTCTCAGACATTTTGCTTTACCAATGATATGCAGGCAAGATTTGATGATTAAACCCCATTACCGAATTCCTATTACCCTAATAATATTAGGCTTAGTCCAAATTCATCCCCCTAATTTTCTTTCCAACTTGGGGGGGGGGGAGAAAAAAAATCCATTCTTTTCACTTCCACTCATTTCATCATCACGAAATATTACGATCCAATAGAGGAACATCCACCAAGTGAACAGGAAGAACTCCAAATAAGATTTCGACCCAAGAACTATTGCAAGAACAAAGTACCAACAATTTCCGGCAAAGAGTGAAAATATTGTATCATATGTTACCTATGTACTTTTATCGTTGATCCTCTTCAAGAAGAGCAACCATTCATGGGGACCCATGAGAGGATAATAAACCGTAGCAACCCACCTTGGAGAGTTCGAGGAGGGCGTTCTCGCGGAGGTCCGTATTCCCGAGTTCTAGCACGAGCTGCTCCGCCGACGCCATCTTTCTGTCCTTGGCGGCCTGCTGGGCTGCGGCCACGGCGGCCGTGGAAACCCCCGTTAGGGCCTGTGGCTGCGCAGCGGGCCCTCCGCCGAACGCAGGGTTGAGGGACAGAGACTGTTGCAGATTCGCCATCATCGGACGCCTCTGCCCGTACAGAGAAACGGGAACTCGAGCAAAACACCACGGAAGAGGGATCGACGAGAGAGAGAGAGAGAGAAGAGAGGGGGGGGGGGAGAGAGGAAGTATGTCTTGAAAAAGGCCCTTTTTTTATTCTCGTGTCATCGACCGAGGTGGTTCAGAGAAGATACCAACCATTTTGCGGGGCACCTCAAATTAATAGCAAATATGACCAATCAGTTTGGAAATGAAATACACAATTTCTCTCACTCAAATCAATTTTTAGATAAGATTCAAATCAAGAGAATTAGTCAAATCCGACGTTCCAAGATTCAATAAAGAAACGGTCTCTTTTATCCGTGCTTCGCGAGGTTGCCCCCGTCCTCCTCCCCTCCCCCCATGGCACTAAAATGAAGTGTTTTGATGATTAATTTATTTACAAATATTTAATCGGTAAAACAATATTGTCAGTCCTCAAACATGAAGGGGAACGGGGGACTAGGCGGGTGCTGCCAATTAAAAGACTGGGTGGCGTCACAACATGACTAAGGCACTAGCAATATCAACTTCTCCTGAGCAAGGGGAGACGAACAAGGTAAAGTTTCACCGACATTACTTTCCCCAAGGATAATGCATGATTAACGGCAAATAATACATCACCCCGAGAAAAAACCACTTACTGCAGTTTAATGATTGCATGTGGGCTTTTCTTTTTCTTTTTTGAAAACTCGCCTATTCTATATAAAAGAACGCGTTTTATTTACTCGGAAATAATTCCTGGGGCAATAAATATTAAATTGCACTTGAATCCCGATCATGTGCCAACAAAAAATAAATAGTTATCCAAGCCAAATATCTTCCATGATATTTATTATAGGAAATGGCATTCCCTGCCTTCATTTATCAGTAAGAAAAGTAATTAAAAGTTAATTTTTATTATACAAAAACTGAAAACTGAGGAAACAATACGAGGGTCAATGGTGTAGTCTTACACTAACTCCTAATTTTTGTGGCCATCGAAACTCACAGCCCCACGATCATTATTTTCCCACATCTTGGGAAAAAAATAAAGAGTTTCTTATTGACCCTCCAACGTAATAAAAAACCGCCGACGGTGACCTGCGTACCTGCTCCTAGACAATTTTCTTCAGCGATCTGCTCACCTGCGTACCCCAACCGCTGGTTCAACATTCATATCATAATATGTCATTAGCAAGACAGCATTTCTTGGTCCAACATATATCATAATAGCAAAAAGTTCATACGGTCTGCAACGCCAACTTCAGGGTAAAAGAAGCTTAGGAACAACCGTACGAGAGGGGATGGATTTCCTACGAGGCAATCAGTCTACTTCCCCAGCTCAGACAAAAGACCAGTTCACGAACATAAAGGCCAGGTAATGGTTGGCGTCCTCGTTCAGCACCCTCCAGGCCACGGCCTGCTCGTAGGACGCAGGCCTCCCCATGCTCGACATGCAGATCCCCGCTGGAAGATAGGCGAACCCCTGCCATCCAAAGTGAGATATTGACTGATGAAGCTCCAAGTAATTTCCTTGATAGGATGGGGGGGGGCAGGAGAAATTGAAGTGAGAGGTAGATCGATCTTCCCCACCTGCTGCATGATCCTGGAGAACTCTGCGAAGAGCGTCTTCTGGCCGGCTTCGTCGAAGACCTTGTCCAGGGTGAGGTCCTGAAGGGCGACCAGCGTCGTCTCCAGCAAGTCAAGGCCAGCTTGGTTCGCAAACATACATACGGGCAATGGCGCCTGCAGCGTATTATATATCATCACCAAAAGAAGTCGGTCACCCTTCTGAGCATCCAGAATGGAAATAAAGAACTCGAGGAAGAGGAGGAAGGGAAAGAAGGAAGCGTTCGCTCACATTTGACTTGAAGGAGCAGCACATGATTGCGTCGGGGTGGTGCCACATAAGCTTCAGCAGAGAGTCACCGGCCGGCGGGTCAGCCGTCTTCAGGAGCTCCACTCCCGTGTGGAACCTTCACCATCGATTTCAATGAGGAAGCAGACCACGAAATGATTGATGGGTTGGATTGAGACAAAACGAAAAAATAAAAGACCACCACTTGGAGACAGTTCAATTTGATTCTTCACGGGCACGGGAGGAAGAAGATGATTGGGCTCACCTGTAGCTGCGGGAAATCCAATGGGCAAGAGTGAGCGCCTCAGGGGAGCCAGGCGGCGACTTGGGGGCTAAATGCGAGCCGAGATGAGGAGCGATGGCCAGAGCCACCCTCTGCACGGACGCAACGACGCTCCTCACGTACTGGCGGGCCATTGCTGCCACATGATCTCGAAGGTGGTGCTCAAAGCTGAACTGGAATGCGATCGTCAGGATAGACCTGTTCGAGACCGCCTCACTATTTGGGCGCACTGCGGCAGCAGAGCCGACTTCCAGAGTTGAAGCCAAGTCCAGGGTCCTGTTCGTCATCGGTTTATCCTACAGAAGGCGAAACCTCAAAATCATGTAATCTATACCTATGACAACTGAAACTAAATTTAATGGCGAGAGGATGAGGAAGACAATGAAGAAGGGGGAAGCCACCCAACTGTTTTAGAATCCAGTGATATGAGGCGGAAGCCCGAAGGCAGCAGAGGTGCGTCATCGGCAAAGGATTCGTCAATAGAGGCAAAGACAAGCTGAGCTGAAGCACTCATCACGTTGTCGTCTAATCCGCTGCACAACTGTTCCGAGAACACGGCCATCCATTTGAGCGGATGAATTTCTGGAGACATGGATGATGATAAAATTCGGCAGCAAGAACACGGGAAGCGCGTGAAGTTATACCTGCAGTAAGTACATGTCCCTCGGCAAGACCATATCCTCATGGTTAAATCCATGCCCTTCCAGCCTGATCACCTCCAGGAACTGCAAATTTTGCCAGCAGCAGCAGAGCAGAGTAAGCGCAGCCTGATGACATGTTTTCTGATCTATCAACTCATTAGAGAATTCAGTGGCATACCTCTTCGTGGTCCACAGTGTGCGCAAGAGGTAGGATGACCTGGCCACCCAAAAAGTTGCCACCAACTCTCATCCCTGGGAGGATGGGGATAGGTTTGACGGATGCAGCAGCATAAGCGTCCACCCCACAGTCTGCCCATTCTGAGCGGTGCTCCCTCAGGAACCGTACTAACTGCGGTGGGGGGACATTCTGCGCACGGTAAAGGAACAATAAACTATAAAATCTGGAGAGAAAGGTGTTGGAATCAAAATAGGAGGCCCAGAATTTGATGTGTTAATAGAGAAACCCACATGGAGGAGCATAGACGCCTTTGCACACAATATTCCACCGGGGAAGGATGAGAGCACCGCTGGAGAGCTGATATTGGCTCCGACAAGCTTGCTTGGTGAGGAACTTACAGAGATGATCACATCTTCAACGCCTTCGCTTCCTAGTAAAGACCAGCCATCATCTGGGAAACCATTGACAGCATCATTGAAGCCCCTGCAGAGCAAGTTCCTCGTGCTGTCAAGCTACAATGAAATATTGGGACGATGATTCAGGGTTGCATGGGGATTCACTGATCGGCTGGTTACCGGCTGAGCCTCTGGCTAAAAGCCCTTAAGACGCCTGGCTGGTGGCCACCTGCGTAGACGATTTCACCACTCGTCTCTTGAGATATTTGCCGGATATGGCGCAATGCCTAGATTATTATTAAATAACAGAGAATCGAAAAGAGTGTATGTTAGACGCTCCAAACCGAGAAAAAGAATTTCATGCGAGCCGAGAACAAACTTGCTAATTTTTGGGGGCACGCTTACGGCGAGGGTCACTTTCTGAGCCAGCAGCTTCGGCGATTCATATAATGGTCGTAGCACTTCAGGAACGGCGGCCGCCTTCACCCACAACCAATGGATTAAATCGATTTGGTGGTTGCAGGGGTTCTCAAAGACCAAATTTATAACCCATGGCTTAATCAAGACGAGAGAGCCTTACATCCAAATCTACATGGTCCACAATGTGAACCATGGATCCGCCACCTTCACAGGGCCTAATCAGGTACCCGCTGGGCAGCATCTCGGCCCTGGCGAAATTAGGAGTAGGGGGTCCCATAGGGCCTCCAGTCGTAGAAGTCAACGATCGCTCACAAATCTGCAAAACAAAAAAGAAGTTGAGCTAAACTACGACCGAAACAGGTAGATGGTGGGGAACAAAGAAAGGCACCGTATTGACTTACCACAAGACCGCCATCCTCAAGTCCCGTAGTGTATCGTAATGTCCAGAAATCACGAGCAGAGGCTATCGTTGTCGGAGCATAAGTCTGAGGAGATGATTAATTAGACCTCTGACGGTGGCTGAAGATTGATTAGAGTGAAACCAGCGGAGTGAACCAACCAGACCTGAATGTATATTAGCTCAAGGATCCCACCGTTGCCGGTGGGGAATACAGAGCGCACATCAAAACGACGACAATCACGATGCCAAGATGGGCGATCTTTCAGTATCTCTGCAACCTGAAAGAAGAACCGACTCTTACAATAACGATCATGGGCAAACTCCAAATGCCTCCCTAAATTCCAGGAACAGAAGCGTTCTAAGTTCTACCTTTGTGGGCTCTAAGCTCACGAGGCCACATGCTCGAGCTGCTACACCACTACAGTTGTGGGAGACAGTGATGATTCCAATAGAATCCGGACCAGGCTGCAGGAGAAGCGGACATGACCAAACTATCAAGTGGGTTACCACGATAAAAACGCATTGAAGAAGAACACCCTGAAGCATAAATGATGAGAACGGCTAAGTTGGGTACGTATGCGGACCTTCATCCCCAGCATCGGCACCCAATCAATGGCAGTTCCAGTTGCCTTTGAGAGAAATGCCGTCAGAGTCTCCTCACCAATCATGAGGAGACTGCAGGTGACAGGAGCACACTCAGAAGCGAATAAAATTTGCGAACTTAAAGATATAATCTAGTAATAAACTTGATTCAAGATAACAACCGAAGAGGCGGATTACCCCGCTGGGTTGTTAGCATCCTGTTGGGGACGCTGGGTTGCTGTGTTCTGCGGATGCTGACCGCTAGTCACCACAGATTCACAGCTATTATCTGTGGTTGACGCAGGTGCCTATAGAAACAAAAAAAGGGGGTCAATATCCAAGCAAAAATAGAAATCTGTATCTTAGGAGTTAACAGCGAGGAATGATACGAAGATGAGTGGGGGCATTCTCACAGTGTGCAGCTGCTGACGCATGAAGCCATTGTCGTACGTCAGGAGAGAGACCTGCTTCTGCAGCCGGTCATTCTCCTCCATCAGCAGCTTGTTCATGGCGGTCAGCTTCCTGTTGACTGTCTGGAGACGGGAAGACTCCTTCCTCTGTTTCTCACGGCACCTTCGTTCCATAGAATACACATTCGTCATAAGCATGGCCACAGATACACGATAAAAGCAGAGGGAACGGTCGCGGTTGAATGGAAAGTCCCTCCTTTGAGAGTTTACGGGATAGAAGAAAATATTAACAGGATCGTCAGCTAGACGGAGTGTGCCCAAAAAAGGCAGAAGTGAGAAGGGAAAGTAGGTATAATAGAACAGATACTCTTAAATCTGAGCATGTTAAACGTGTTAGATTCAGAAGGAAGAAACTTCCGATCTGCGAGTCTTCTAACCACTCTCCAGGCATTCATCACAGACAATGTCTAGGACTCGGAGTATTCCTAAATAAAGCGCAGATGATCATCCAGGGCAGTGAGAACCGTCTCTGATCCTATGTGAACAAAAGGAGTCTTTTAGATCGGTTTCGTTCGGATGATTGTTCGTACCTGCGGTTCTGGAACCAGACCTTGATCTGCTTGGGCTCGATGTTCGCGAGGATGGGGCACTCCCTGATGAGCTGCTGGCGGCGCATGGAGCTGGGCTTGGGACACTCTGAGTAGAGCCTCTCCAGCGCCTCCACCTGCTCCGGCGTGTAGCGCACATACTTGCCGGTGTCAAGCTGGCCCTTCCCTCCGCCGCCGCCGTCCTTCCCCAGATGGTGCTGCTGGTGCCCCACCATTGACATTTCCTCCCCTCTTTCTTCTGAGGTCCTTCACCCCTGTCGGGGGATCCTCCGCAGGAACGAGGGTACACCCTCGAACATCACAAAGCTTCTTCAGCGTCTCCCCCTTCCGCCTCCTGTGTCACCGGAGGAAGAAAATAGATAGCACGGAGTAACACAAACCCTAGCCTGACCGCATATAATGCCCCTTTCTCACGCGCAGGGAGGTGATGGCCCGCGTCTAGAGAGAGACTGTATGGGTTTGTGTGTGTACAGTGAAGGGTTCCGAGAGAGAGAGAGAGAAGGGGGGGGGGGAGTAAAAAACAAAAACAGAGGCTGAAGGATCTTTCTTTTCTTATTCAAATGGTGGATTTGCTTCGATCTCTCCGATAGATAAACCATCTTTTCTCATGGCTTGCGCAGCAGCTGCCGCGCCTGCCCGTCTCATAAAAGTAGCGCGGCGCGGTGGGTAATGCCGCTCGCTTTACTGCCCCCCCCCCCTTCCGCAGGAATTTAAAATTCCGCGAGAGACAAGAAAGAGAAGAGAGAGAGATGGTGGCGAGGTGTGCACTGGTGCAGGCCTGCAACTGGTGCCCAGCAGCTGCTGCTGCCCCTGCCTCTGCCTCTGCATGTCCCCCTGCCGACGCTGCTGCAGCATAACAGCTGCTGCCACCGACCGCTCCCTCTCTTTCCTTCCGTACCTTCCCTCTCCCTCCCTCTGCTACTGGTGCTATCACGAGGATGCTCACGACAGCTCGGAGAAGAAGACACGTCGCTTCCCTATAACCAGGAGCCCAACCGGTAACCAATATCTCCCTCTATGCGTCGTCTTCGCAGAAATCTCCCACACGAAGGTGGAGGATTTTTCGCCGGAATTAAGGCCCGACGTGGAGATGGTTGGTCTTCAGGAGAGGAGGATGGAGTTCTCCAATGACGTAGGCGGGTTGCTCAGCACGCGCCGACGGGGCAAAGGCGCTGTGCATCGGACGGCACCGTGACAGCGAACACTGTCGGGGGCGGAGAGGATCTCCAGGATCTCCTTTTTCCTGTTTCTCTCACTAAAAAAATAAAAGACCCCGACCTGTTCTCCCTCCTCCCTCCTCCTCCCTCCTCCTCCCTCCATCATAAAAAATGCCGTCTTCTTGTTACCATTTCTCCGCCATTGGGTGGGTCGAGCGGCTCTTCCCGTTTCCAGAGAGTCCGACTGTGTGTATGTAGAGAGAGAAAGAAAGAAAGAAGAGAGGGATGGGGGGGAAGGGGGTGGCTGGCAGACAAGACAGTGGGTCAAGAGATTCCCGTATCTCCTCCTTCCGCTCCAGGAATTAACCAAGAAAACGACAGCTTCTGAGGATTTCTCCTTAAGAATTACGGCAAGCGATCTTTTTCTGGTAACGTTTATAGGGGCGGCTGCTGGGTTTGGTTGGGCTCCGGGAGGGGGGGCTTGTCGTCGTCATCAATGCGCGCGAGGGAGGCCCCTGCTTGGATTGCATTCAGGGGTTCGTGGGATGACGATGAACAGCAGGAGGGTTAGGGCTCCACCTAGTGGGCTTGAAATTGTCTACAGGGGGAGGTAAACCCCTCGATACCGACCTCGAAAGATCTGATTTCTCGGGGACCCTCTTCGTCTTCACCGCGGAGACGGATCCCTGCAAGGACAAGCGGAGTTCTTCTCTCCGGTGGCAGGTGGATTTGACTTGAAGGAACCTTTTTCTGAGGTCGACGAGGCAGTAGGATGAGAGGGAAAGATATAGTAGGGGAGAGAGAGAGAGAGAGAGAGAGAGAGAAAGAGAGAGGGGAAGCTTGGAATGACCACTCGGGTTTATTCCTCTTACTCCCCTGACAGCCGCAGGATCTCCCGGAGATCTGATCGGCGGCGAGAGGGACTGTTGAGAAACTGGCCCTCCCCAGTTCGTTAACCTGTCCACAGTCTTCGTCTCTCCTCTCTATCTCTCTATCTCTCTCTTGAACGAGGTGGATTGACAGCAATCATGTGTTCTTGAACGACGTTCTGCGTATCGTGGGAATGCTGCGCCGCTGCATGTCGGAAGGAAGACAGCCGCGGTCTTGCCCAAGGGAGGATTGAGAAGAACATCAGGAATTGAGGGCATTTTACGGTTTATATAAGGAATTACGTCAATCGCGTTTAAGTGGGAACTTATAAAATACCCATTGATCGATAGATATAGAAAATTCTTTGACACTGCATAAATGAAGAAGATTTACTAAGAAAAAGGAGAAAATCCCCGGCCTTGGGGCGGGGGCCCAATACCCCGGCGGATTTCCTGGACCTGTCGGACTGGGTAGACTCACCGAATTGAGGGCCTGAGGTAGTTCAACGAACCACAGGGTACGAATTTACAGGACTCGCCGGAAAGCTGCCCTCGGCCAGCATCGTAACGGAAGACTCATGACGGTCAGCGGCGGCGCCGCAGCCCTTGACGGCGACCATTTGGTGGTGGCCATTGGCTGGCCCCGCGGCTTCCTCGGCGGCCGTGGCTGCTCCACAGCCGGCGACGCCGCTTACTTCTGTCGGAGCTGGGCCCTCATCGGACCAACGTCTGGCTCCGGCAGCCGGGTCAATCAGGTCGCCGCCGACAGCCGCCGCTCGAACAAGAAGACAAAGCTCGCCCGTGATGGTCAGCGCATAAGTCAACAGGATCGGACGACACACAGCGCATCGCGGTTCAATGGGCATGGCTGCCCCAAGACTTCCAGATACGAGATGACGACTTCCGCGGACTCGTCGTCAAAGTAGGTGTCGTGCGGCAGACAGACGTGGACTTTCGTGTGAAGTTGACAGCACGAAGGAGCTTGACTTCAACATAAAGGAGTTCGACTATCGGTGAAGAAACAACGATAAGACACCCGATATCTTCGAAGACTATCTATCTATCGATGGAGGAAAAATGGCAGGTGTTCGTTGACTAAATTTGTGTTGAAGTCGCCCTGCCACTGTGCTATTTTTAACGAGAAAAAAACCTCGTTGACGAATGCAAGTAGAAACGGGGATAGAGCTTGACATTCAGTGAAAGCTTGCGCGGAAAATGAACAACAAGAAGAAAAATTCCTTCCAGTTCAGAGGTCAGATGCAAAGGTATCCCAATAATTCCCAATAAATCGCCCTCTTTTCCATATAAGCAGCACAGACATTCAATAAGAAGACAAATTCCTTCTAGTTCAAAGGTCAGATGCGAGAACATACCAGAAGCAAAATTAATAAATCCCCCTCTTTTCCATTTGACCAGCGCTGACATTTAACTAGAAAACACGGGGAAAGAGAGGAAATTTTCCTTCAGACGTAGAGTTCAGATGCAATAGCATCCCAACAAGAATCGATAAATCACCCTCTTAGCAAAAAGAAGAAGAAGAAGAAGAAGAAGAAGAAGAAGAAGAAGAAAACTCTCGAAACCCATCTGAGATGCTGTGTTATAAGGTCTGGCTCGAGTAAGTCCCCCTCGCTGCTGCCACATCATAGTCCCTGTTCCTGTCCTTGATCTCCTCGTCATCACTGTCTCTATCTCCGTCCTGGGATGCTGCTGGCCGTCTGTGCTATCACAGTGGAGAGAGTTAAAGAAGGCTCCATGTTCAGCTCAGCACCACTGGAGGATTTACAGACCTTTCCTGAGGGCATGGATAGGGATTTAAGGGATGAAATATAAGAAGCGGGGAAGAGGGAAACGTTCTTCCTCTGTCAGGGAAGAAATTAAAGAATAACAAACCATGTGAAGACGACTTTGGGCAATCTAAACCACCGACTTCTGCAGATTTCGGTAAACAAGAGATATCCTGGAAAAGGAAACCTTGCCCGGAATAACATAACCAGTCAATACCCTAATTAACATAACCAGTCAACGACACTCATGGAAGTGGTCTCAGGGTTTAGGGTTTATGGGATGGGGAAGGAGGCCAAAATTGAAGTTGGAGTTGGGGTAAATGAAGCCGTAGAAATCACAGCTGAAGGGAGGTGACTGACGCCATGAATGCAGGTGGAGCATGAAAGCCCATGCTGAAGCCGGAGCAAAAGATGCTGGATCTGAAGGCAAAGCAGACGATGCCTGACCTAAAGCTGGAGTAGTCGTAGATGCCCCAGCAAAAACTGAAGACGCCCAAGCTAAAGCTAGAGTAGTGTAAGTATGCTGCATTAGCCCCGTTCTCTGGTCTATCCACAAATAGAGGACAAGGATCAGTATCGGATTCAGCCAATCTGCACTCCCCAACACGAGCTGCAAAGTTATTTAAATGGTCCTTCCAATTCACTGTGAAGATGATTGGCGGCTTCTGTGAGTCTGTGATGATAGAAGACTGCTAAGAGGATAATGTGCCACGCATTCAAGAGTCTGTGGCAGCCTGGAAGGCAACAACTGCTGTCAAAATTGCGGCAAATTATCCTCACTCACACGAGCTGCAAAGTTAAATGGTCCTTCTAATTCTCTGTGAAGATGGTTGCCAGCTTCTGTGAGTCTGTGATGATGGCACACATTCAAGAGTTTGTGGCAGTCTGGAAAGCAACAACTACCGTCAAAATTGCATCTGCGTCGCACAGGAACAGCATACGTGAACATAATGAATAAAAAAGGGATCAAGGAGAGGGAAGATGGGATAGAGAATAGTGCAGAAGGGATGGTGAGAAAGGTAGAAGCATGAGCGATGATGGGCACAGCAGATTAGAGGCAGAGGCCCACGGCAATGGAGCAGAATGTGGGTGAGTAGCCATCATTTTGTCTCTCAACAAAGGATAAGGTATTATTTAATTTGTGGACCATTCTTCGTTTATATACAGTGAAAGGAGGGGAGCCCAATGAGCTATACTATCAATGAATCGAACAATTGCGTGAGCCAATGTGGGCCTAATGAATCATATTCTAATGAACTAACCAACATTCACAAAAATGTTTCTTGCATTTGATGGGCAAGAAAGATCACGCTATATAACATATATACCTAAACATATACATATGTTTAGGTATATATATCATTCAAGTGTTTTTTCCAATAAAGATTTAATCACCAATGGTTGACCTTCT